TAAATTTTTGACGTTCTATAGCAGTATTAGCTTCGGGTATCTCTTATCTATTAGACAAGTCCGTCCGTCCGTCCGTGGTGCTGTTTCAGCGGCCAAACCGTAAGAGATAGATAAAGAGAATGTTTAAGTTATAAGTTGAGAATAGTCTGATAAGACTACAAACCGGATGTGAGTAACGTAACACTTCCGGTTTTCGAGAAATCACGTGATTTCTATTTCAAACGAAACCACACAAAATCTCCGAAGTTCTCAATTAATTAAATACATTTTTTTTTTGGTGAACATTTGGTTCACTGGTTTGCTAGTAAAGTATAAATTCAACCTGTTTACACACTTAATGTACTCATTTTCACCTTCAGCATCTTCTTCTGGTGCAATAACCTTGCCACTTTTTGTTTGTCATTTAACGCTATTTGACCTTCAATATAATACTTGAAATTCTGAAGCCAAGTTTTCCATCGCTCGCCAGTAGTATTCGGTTCGGGGACTGAAATGTGGCCCAGCAGCTCCCACCGAATATTCCAAACGCTCCATTACTACCAAAACCGGCGTCCCGCCGCCGCTTATCTATTCTGTTGCGTGATTCCGCACCGTTCTCGTCGCCAATGTTGTAGATTATTCCAATATAGAAAAGTATAATTGTACTCGTTTATTTAGAACTCCAATCACAATATTACAATACGTATACTAGATATTCCTTTTATGATCTTTCCACGTGTCGTACACCATTATTACTTGCTTCACAGACTAACTGTCTTTTACAGGATTGCCATCATAGTAATGTGGCCATAACAAAACTCTACAGTGTCGGTTTGTAATAAGTATTGAAATAACCGCTTTTTACTACATGCAAATATACACGGTACATACACCAAAATATTGTTTTTTACAATTTTTGTCTGTCTGTCTGTTTATTCCGGCTAATCTCTGAAATGGCTAGACCGATTTTAACGGGATTTTTATTGGCAGGTAGCTGATGTAATGAGGAGTAACTTAAGCTACTTTTATTTTATAAAAATTCTTTTATTTAAAAAAAAAAATGTGTGCGTGTAAAGTTAAATTAGATAAAGTTTAAACAAAAGGATTTTATTATCATAGACATGAATACAAATTACTGCCTATGAAACTGTTATGATTACACGGCTCAGTAATCTAAGGCACATGTTCCACCTCCGACGATGAACGATAAGCGAGTAGAAACTAGAAACGAATTGGCAGTCCTGAGTTAAAATGCACGCGCACGGCTTTTGACAGCCAAGCCAGCTTAACCGAGTACCGCTGAGCGAGTACCGCTGAGCGAGTACCGCTGAGCGAGTATCGCTATGCGAGTTTGGCTGAGCGAGTCTTATCTTTAATAACTATTGTCACTCAGCTACAAACGAGTAGAGAGAGTTCTCGCCGGCGACAGTGTGATCATTCAGCTATCAACTATTAATATAAAAAAAGATGGCGCGTAACGGAAAAATGTGACGCGTAACGTCCAAAAAAATTACCGTCAGAATAGATAAGCGATAAGTTTCACTTCAAAAAAAACTAAAAGTCGCGGGCGGCTGCTAGTATATGTATGTATATTGCCGCGTGTGACGCTCGTGATGCTCGTAGCGTTTTACGCATTGGCCACGTAGATGGTCTAGGCTAAGCGCGGCGGGTGCGGGTGACTTCTGCGGGCGCGGGTGGCATGCCACGTACATTCAGTAGCGGTTACAGCGGCTGACTAAGTGGACGCTGTGGACGTATTGAGGATGGCTCTAACTAAAGTGATGCGTAGTTTCCTTGAAAGCAGTTCGTATTTATGCCGAATACTATACTATACTTGTACCTAAATATTAGTAATTAGGTATCTTTATATATATAATTCTTCTGTGAGTGTGTATGTCACTGAACTTCTCTTAAACGACTGGACCGATTTTGATGAAATTTTTTGTGTGTGTTCAAGGGGATCTGAGAATGGTTTAGATTCACAATTTTGTCCGCTGGACAACCCCTATTTTTTTAGGGCGGTACGAAGTTCGCTGGGTCAGCTAGTTATCTAATAAAACTTACTGTCCTGATCTGGAAAAAGCTGTTTGATTTCTTCCCATAGTCTTTTTATTACATTTTTATACTTGTGCTGTGGATGCATAGACACCCATATAGGACCTATATTATAGGTGGTCGGTTTAATATTTGTGTAATAAATGCTTCGGTGTCTATAATAAAATGCTGCCGCTCGTGGATTCGTCCAAAAAAATTTGTTTCGCTCGATCCGTCCCGCGCTAGCCGTTTTCAACCGCCCGAAAAACCGCCGTGCATCGTGGCCATGCGCAAACTAGCCCATAGCTTTGTTTCCACCCGCCCGCCTCGCCCGCCTCGCCCGGTACCACTGCCCTGAACCGCCGCCCCGCCAGCCGCAGGCGCTCTAGCCCGCCGCGCGCGAGTCGTGGCATACTTCATACATTTGTTTAATTAGACAACCGCCGCCGCCACCCGCAACCGCGCCTAGTCCGTCTCCGTGGCCAAGCACTTAGCCTTCTAAGCCGGAACTATATATATCGTCGTGTCGTCGTCGAGTCGTGTGACGCTCGTGACGCACTTCCGTTCCATCTTTTCCATAGAATTTTTCCATTTAAAAACCCGTCCAAAAATAAGTTTCACTTCAATAATAAGTAATTATGATTCGCCCACTCCTATTTGATTCATACTACGCCGGCGGTAACATCGCTGCCATGCATTGATTTCAACGTTCCTCAGTATAAACCCTACCAGTTACCTCTCCATCGCCCACAGGGCTACGCTTAACTTATAGTTTGTGAAGACCTAGGTTTCAGCACCGTGAGCGAGAACTAGCTGAATACGTTAGTCAAATACCCTGGTTTGACTTTTTTTATTTCTGGGAAAGGCATGACGCCTCCCTCACCACCGGGAGATGCCAGGAGGACATATGCGAACTCCTCCCCAGTCATTTCAATTCAAAGGTTCGGTGAAAAGAACACGGTCCTATCCAATAAAACATCAGACCATACTCCTGTTCCAGTCTCCCGATACGTATTGAGAGGACCGTGGTTCCCAAGATGCATGCAAGATGCACGATGAGAATGCAGGTGTGGGTTCAACCTTGAGATGGGGTTTGAAGGCCAACTCCAAACAGGAATAATAAATAGGCTGTCCAGACTAATCGCACACATCTGTTGAATTAAATTCTTGATTCTTCCCAATCACTATCTCCTGCCCCAAATTTATTATTAATATATTGCGCGTATTTATCTACTTTTTCGATGGTGGTATGGTTAACTTTAATGGCTGAGTCTGTGTTTAATGTCTGTATTACTCATAACCTTCATTTTGTTCAAATATTCATCTCTTTACCTTTACAATACGAAAGATAATACTAGTTAAGATAAAACGACACATCAATATTGATGTAACATGACGACTGTGTAAACATGCAGAAAATATTGTTTATTCCGAAAAAATATAGTGAGTTGAATAAAATACTCATGTAAATAATGTCAATGTTTTGTCGGTCATCAAGTTTATCGACTACAACCTTCGCGGCTTACTGATTGCTCCTCTCAGCTACTCTCAATCTTAAACTATGAGTTTTGGTCAATTCATCATAACTCCGGTGAGCAAATTTTCAGTATCTCAGAAATTGTCTTGAAGAATAATAAGTAATTGTACGTAGGCATATAATGCTGCAGCCTTCTTCTGATAAAGGATTTTTGCCCAGGTTCCAGGCGCTCCGATTGTTGCTCTTCCTAACGAACCTCCTAGGTAGGGATGCAAAGTCTTTTGAAATATCGATATTTATATCGAAGTCAGGAAAATATCGATATCCGATATATCGACCATTTGAACTCGATATTATCGATATATCGATATTTTTTCCTTTTTATTTTTTATTGACATTAGAATACGGGGTGAGTGTGACACATTCATATGTTTGTTGGCGAGTTTCTCGCAAAATGCTTTTTTGTTAAAAACTCTTGATGAAATCGCGCCAAGCAGGATTTTTTTTATTGGCTCGCACGGTTTGTGTTTCAGCCACGTTAGGAAACCAAAAAAATAAAATTATTATCCTGATCAGATCACTCACATTCGTTAGCACGAATGCGCCAATCCGCATATGTGGGACGACATTTGCGAATGCCTTCGCTAAGTTTTCATTACATTCGTGCTTTTACAAGCTTTGTCGGTTTTTTAGCGCACATCAAATACGCAAATTGCTTAGTCTCCCACACATCAGGGGCGTGCCCATGGCTTCAGAATAGGGTAAGCCCAAAGCTTCCAAAATTACTATACCTATCTTACTTTCTTGACTTGGCGAGTTTAAAAAATTTACGATTTGTATAAGATTCTTAATTTTATTTTGTGTTATATTACAATAATATTAAATTTCAATTAATCGGTAGTTGACAATTATCTAGAAAAAGAGGCAAGGATTTTTTTTAAGTGCATGAGTTACCATTAGGTATACGATTATACCTATATACGTTGGTGTCAATTCTGGCATGATTATCTAAACTTAAAACTAAATTTAACATTAGTCTCTCCTTTTCATTCTGTATAAAGAATGACAAGGATACACTATTGTCAAATTTAATTTTAGGTTTAGAGAATCATGCCAGATTCCACACCAGTTTAGTATATTTCTTGGCGTTAAAATTTTTTTTAATACATCTATAAGCTCTTGGGATTCAAAGCAATAGTTATTTCGATATTATTCAATTTAGATAGTCATAGCAGGCAAATTAATTGATATTATTGTGTTCAAATTTAGTCTACGAAATATCGATATTTTGGAATTACCGATATCGATATTATCGATATCAGTGAATTTTAAATATCGATATAAATATCGATATTTTGGTCTCGATATTATCGATATTCCGATATACGTTGCAACCCTAATCCTAGGTCTTAGAGAATTTTGTAGATGCTAAGTCCCAGGTTTATTATTCCTAGTTCCCTATCTCTCCTTAAATGTATATTCCTGTTATTTTAAAAATGAAAAAAAAATCTTAATCAGTGTTTATTAAGTATTTATTTAATATTTTGCGATAAAGTTCTACAGAGCCCAAATGCGTACGTGGTCGACTTGCAAGGACGCGTCTCTTCCATCGTTGACGTTTAGGTTCCAGGTTGGGAGCCAATTGTTGCGCGCGTTCCAAAAGTCTGTGGAAGCCTGTAAAAGAAATGTTTATTTATCCCATATGGCTAAACGTGTAAATGTTCAGCTGTATGTAAAAATATACTTTTTACTGCGAATCTCCGTTTCCCTTGGTCAAGCCTTTACTTGCGAACGACCTCATCGTTTACATTAAAGTTTTCTAACACTCTAGAAGGTTATAACACGGAAAAAGAAATTCAGAAAGTTGTGCAGAAAATTAAGGAAACCATACTCACAACTCTCAAGGTGACGCTACAGCCTGGTTTTACGATTTTTGTATAATTTTATCGGGCAGGCAAGGAAGTCTGTTAGGTATGCTAGGACATTGATATAGTTTTAAAAAAACATTTCATTACCGTGGGTGAACCATTCCACCATGGTTTTGGGGAAGGATTGCTAACTCCATCAGGGAAGAAACCGTTGGTGCCGCCAACAGCCAAGTTCATTATGAGGTAGAACTGAAAACAAAGTTATTATCAGGAGAGTACATGTATAGGCAGCACGAGATAAAAGCCAACGTGTGTATTTAGATGATATATTCCTTTTTCATAACCCACACTAATAAAAAAAAGTGTGCACGGACGACACAATGACATCTAATTGAATCTTCTTTTCTTAAATAACCTAACATTAGGCGGTGCAGAAGGCATAGGGGAATGGAGTAGCGCACGCATCACTCATATATAAGTATATACTGTCGCGTGTCACGCTCGCAGCTTTTCAGCTTTCACCGAGTTACCCTGTAACTTTCATGCTCGTCGGGAAGAGCTGCGCACGCATCCCACACACAAACATAATATGGTCGTGTGACGCTTATGACGCATTTCTGTTTCATCTTTTCCACAGGATTTTCCATTTACACGCTGTCCGCAAAGAAGTATCAATTAAAAAAACGACGGTTTGCATTCCGGGAGTGCCAGCAGAAGTGAAAACTTGAATATTAACGTTGTGCATTTTTGATATTTTGGAATGATTAGAGAATAATTTTGCATGAATTTCTTTAATTATCAGTATAAAATTACTATAATTTATGTGGAAGAATAAAATATATATTTATTGCGCTATCGTACACAAACATGACAATTTATATTACCTACATTATAAAGTTTATCTCTCAGAATTTCTCATTTAAGCGCACCTAGCGACATCTATTGTAAAAAAAAATGTATTTTCTTCGCAATAAAGCTGCCACCTGGACGTCCTAGATACAGACTTATTATTATAATACGATAAAATAAAATATTACTATGATTCGTCCAATATATTGAAAGTCAACAACCTTTCCAATTTTATTGTTTTTGTCTTACGAATTTTCGATTGTTAGGTGTCCGGATGCGATCAGCCCACGTGTCATGACGCGAGTTTAGCATTTTTTACCCATACAAAAAAAAAGTGTACAACGCCGCTATAGAAGTTTTCACTTCAAAAATTTATAATTAAAAATTTAAAAAAATAAATATCTAGTAAATGCTTTAATCTAATATATAAAATTCTCGTGTCGCGGTGTTTGTGGTTAAACTCCTCCGAAACGGCTCGACCGATTTTCGTAAAATTTTGTGTGCATATTGGGTAGGTCTGAGAATCGGATGTAATCTATTTTTGATCCCCCTAAATATTAAGGGTACACCCCCCCCATTTTTTTTTATTTTTGATAAAAATTTTTTTTATAATTTTTTTATGATACATCATACAAAAATACATACAACCCTAAATTTTCACCCTTCTACCACCAACCTCTATTTTTTATGGCGGTACGAAGTTCGCTGGGACAGCTAGTATAAATATAATACAATAACTAACAAATGTTTATCCATCAGGCGAGATTATGGTCAAACGCCTTGCCTTTTAAGCATTGAAAAAAAAATGTTAAACAGGAGGCTCATAGACAAAGTATTTATTTTTAACTGTAGACTGAGTTTCCTTGGTGTTCCATTACCAACTGTTAAGTAAAAGAAAGATATGTGAGAGAGACACGAAACGATTGGCCCTTCTAGGCCGAATAATCTCGCTATGCTTAGATCGGGCTCATAGTTTCTGTTCCCGTATTGGTTGTATTTTCCCTCTTTCTAGAGAGTTGTCAATGCGAGTGTCGCTCAGTACCCAGTAGTTTGAGCTCACGAAAACTATCATAGTTTTCGTAATTGTAAATTATGTTACTATGTCCATTTTGGTAAAAAGTACTATGTCCATTTTGGTAAAATACTTAAAATATAAGAAGACGCAAATGATTTAATGATACAATTTAAAGATTGTTTATTTGTATTGAAACGGAAACAATAAAATCAGTAGGTACCTAGTTTTCGTAATTATAAAATTCGTACTAAAGGTACAGTTCGTTTATCCTCTATACGATATATGGATATTCGTATTTTATGGATTTGCCACACGGTAAGATTATTATGGTCTATTTATTTTACCTTCTGGTCGAAAGGAGCCATCCTGCTGCCGAACCGCCACGGGTTCTCAACGTTGTGTCGGTTGAAGCCACCAAATTCCCAGAATCCACCGTTGGGGGGAGTGACGCGGCCTAATTCTACGTTGTCAATGGCGAAACGAATAAAATCTGTAATAAAGAAAAACTTGTAACTACAAGTAGTCGTTATTACTTTTCTTACCTGTAAGGTAAATGTATGATGACGACTTCCATGCTTGAATGCCGGTTTTCAAATTGGCATTAAATAAGAGGTCTTGGCTTCGAATCCCGTTGGAGCAAATGTTAGTCAAATGAATACGATCCTTATTTTCGAAGCCATGACTTTTAATCCACGCGGTCCAGGCAGCAGACGGGACTCGAACCCGCACCCTCCGCTATTGGGACGGATGTACTGACCATTATGCTACCGTGGCCCTAACAGATGGCGGCCGTGTCCAATTTTCTCTAGTATTTCTAAGGCTGCAAGGCAGCCCCATCCCTTCGCATTATAGGTCCAGTCCCGTCAGCTGCCTAGAGCGCGTGGAATTTATTAAAGTAAAATTTTATTTAGATTTAAACATCATGAAGTTGAATGCTTGAAGGATAAAAATATTGACAATTTTATTGACATAGTTATATTTATATTGATATAGTTCTTAAAAAATATACTTATCTATGTATCATTGTATCTATTTCTAATTTCTATTCATTAGCCTAGTAGTGTACCTATCCTTTAACAGAAGCAACAGTGCTACATTGGAGATATGTTAATTATTGCGTCTTTAAAACAAACATAATGACATGATTTCAAAAAATCGAGTAGTATCGTCGTCTCTTACTAGGAGTCCATTGAAATTGGCCAGGCTAATTAGTGTGTGTTTAAAAAAATCAGCGTTTGATTATTAAAAAAAAGCCTCTTACTAGGAGTCCATTCGAGTTGGTATAGGTGGAATCCTCTGTCATAGCCATTGGGGTTTCTCCTTAGCCAATGGGCGCGGTCCCATCCGTTTAGTGCAGGATAAGGTCCATAGTGAAGGGTGGAGCCGGCCTCTTGGGTGCCGATGTGGACTCCGTTGCTGAACATGTTCCGGTTGCCACGGGACTCCATCATGTCGATCTCTCCGGACGCAGGCCATGTGCCGTAAGTATTGTACGCTGGCATCAACCAGATGGCTGAAATTGAGAAAGCATTATTGAATCAGTAAAATGTTCTATATTATGAAGAATCAAAGAAGACGATAATTATCTTGATTATTTTAGATCCGTCTTTTGTTGATCGTCTTGTCTTGTCTTTGTTATTTGCGAACTCGTAAGTTTCGCCAACTTTGTAACCTTGATAAAAAAAATGCCTATTTGTTTCTTAATTTGATGGTAGTTAAATCTTGCATCAACAACTGCAGATAGGTACTATGTAACTGATGTTACGGACTTTTTCAGATTCTCTGTCTTTGTTTCAACTAAAAAAAGGTAGATTCAAGATCTCAGTCTTCTGACTACAGAAAGGGACCTTTAATTCCACTTATTACACCTACACGCTTTTTAACGCGTTTCATTTTTAATTCATTAATTCAGTGATTTGCTTAGAAGTGTCGAAGATAATTTTACCTGGCCATAGCCAATCTCCCGCGGGCATTTTAGCTCTGACTTCAACTATTCCGTATCGGAAACTGAAGGAGTTGACTGTGCGGAGGCGCGCACTCTTGATTGGATTCAGGACATTGTTGGGGGTACCTGTACGCTCGCAGCCAAACCACGCCGGGTTGGTGCACCTGAAAATTAAATGGATTTAGTCAAATGCCTATTATTGATTTCATAATTTAAAAACGATCTTATCACAATGATTGATTTATTAATTGAGCGAAGCGATGGCTGGTTCATGCGTCATGCTCGTGAACGGGTGCTGCCAGCGGAGATGAGTCTGCTCTTGCTACATTGGGTACTATTAATCGTTGTATTTAACTTTAATGGTACATTTGTTTTTATGCCTAAACAGTGGGACACGGCATTCCTAAACTTTTTTCATTTTTAAATCTGTTTTTTATATTTTTTATTTTATAGTCATAATTGTTTTATCATTTACATTTGTAATGGAAAGTGACTTCATGGGTTATCTCATATTGAACTCATTTTTCAAATTGATTGACTCTGTATATAATACAGGGAGAAAAAAACAGCCCTTGCTGAGTTTCTTGCCGGTTCTTCTCAGTACAAGGTCTCCCGCCGTAGATTTGCGAACCGATGGCGTAGCTTTTCGACATTCACAAGTGCTTGTAACAGCCTAGACTGAATAAACGATATTGAATTGAATTGAATTAATCGGCTTATCGTCCTTTACAGGAATAGACCTAATAATTCATTTGACCGTTGTCATAAAACTACCATTTCGTATTCTGTCACAGAAGCTCACAGGCCGGTGCATTTCAAATTTTCGGTTGTAATGTGGAGTTAACGTCTCCAGACGGGAATAGAAGAGGAAAAAATTGCTATGTCCAGCTCTTAAGTAACTTGTAGGTAATTATTTCCTGTTGTCGATTTCAGCAATACTACTTTTTACCTTAGGTAAGTACTGACTTTTTCCTGTTGATGTCATTGCATTCTACGACTAAATCTAAATTCAGACTGCCTTCTACTCTTGTTTGTGAGCGAAAGAAAAACATAGAATGGGCCTGATGCTGTCAACTTTTCGGAACTCACATTAACGGAAGTATTCACTGCAAGCTGTTGTAGGATGGTTATAGGCGATAAGTGGACATCCTGTCAATATAAGTTTCAATTCAACATCATAGGCCAAACTCATGGGCCTAACCTATGCCAGTTTTGTAATAACTAGTGGGAATAAAAATGTGTACATAGTATTCCTTTTACGGGGAGGTGCCGCCGGTAATGTAACAGAAACGCTCTGTTAACATTTCTATTTTTGTATATTACACAAGTAAACAAAATGAAAAAAAAAATTGAGTTTCTTATTTAATTACTATTGTCTAATTGTTTATATCGAAAAATAACCAGAAACCTCATTTTTATTTTAAAAAGTTTGCTTTTGTACTTTATACAATGATAAATAAATATGTATGACTTTTGTAAAAGGCTGAGGTTCTACCGCTTTTAATAAGCAAAAGAAAGGAGTGCAGAAGGATATTGGGTATGGAATAGGAAGCAGTAGAGCAATCACTCAGTGCATGTACACAACTTTTAGAGAAACGACGTATATTGTAAATGCCTAGAGCGGTAAATGCCTTCCAAAATGAGTGAAAACTACGTGGACGCTGTTTGCTTTATTTGCGGAGATTTTTTTAAAATTTAGATTCATAACAATGGTTTAAACTGTAGTTAAAGATTTAAATAAACATATGAAACTAAATTCTTACTTCCTATTTAACTTCAGGATAAAATATGGACGCCTCATGTCGATATACAAAATTTCCAAGTTATTTTTGTTTACTTCACTACCAGCAGCACATTCAGAGTGTCAGAAAAAGAATTACAATATTTAGTATGATATACTTTTATTCATTATGGACCCTATCATTATATTGTCTCAGTTGCATGAAAAAATTCTTTATTGAAGGGAAACGACGTATTTTGTGAGTCTTGAGCGGTAAAATGTCTTCCCAAAGGAGTAAAAACTACGTGGACTCTGTTTGACTTATTTCCGGAGATTATATTAAATTTAGGGTCAAAAAAATGTTGTTTATCCAGTAGTAAAAGGCATAATTAAGCATATGAAGCTAACTTTAACTTTCTATTCGAAGTCAGGATAAAATATGGGCGTCACATGAGGATATACTAAATTTCCATGGTATTTTGTTTACTTCAGAAAATTTTCAGACTAAAAATTATAAAATATGCTAAAAATATCAATTTTAAAACTAAATCAATATATTTTTTGTATTCATAGACTTGGTTTATTTGTCTAAAGTAAATAAAAGAGTTTTAAATAAATATATTAATGATTATTTTCTTGTTACATACAACTTAAACAAAAAAGATTGCAATTTTCCATGAAATTTAAAATATCATTCTGATAGCTACAAAAGCAAACTTTTTTAAATAAAAATATTGTTTCTTACATTAATTAGGTATAAGAAATCAAAATCTGGTACAAAGAACTCAGACTCAAAAATCGTGTTGACTGGTGTTATTTGCATGACTTTGTCTCTGTTTCTCTTTAAATAATATTATTACCCTTTTCATTTATCCTTTTACAATCTATATGGCAAAAATTCGAGGATATATTTAATCTATACTTATGATAAATCTGTAGAGAGGTCAATTCTGTACATGAAATATATTTTTAAAATAACTATCAGGGGGTGATTAGTGATCGATACTGATGCCAAAAATGCAATCAGTAAAATTTTTGTCTGTCTGTCTGTGTGTATGTTCCTTATAGAAACAAAAACTACTCAACGGGTTTTAACGAAACTTGGTACAATTATTCTTCATACTCCTGGGCAGGTTATAGTATACTTTTCATCACGCTACAATCAATAGCAGCAGAGTAGTGAAGGGAAATGTTGGGAAAACGGGAGAAGTTACTCCATTTTTAAAGCTTCCGTCGCGGGTGCAGTCTTAATGGTTAAAGTTACATAGAAATTATGTATGACGGAAATATTCTACATAAAATTGTCTAAAAAATATCCTGCAACAGCATATGTCTATCTTTTATGATTGACTCACAATAACACGTGTAATTATATAAATAAAGTCATTCTTTATAGCACAAGCCTGAGAACAAAAACTATAGTTTACACTACAGCTCTACACCGAAGCGAAGCGAGGGCGGGCCACTAGTAAGGAATAAATTATTATATTTGTTTCTTAGGTTTTCACGCACATCACTCATTCATCGTCAGAATAATAATAATTAATAATAATAATAACAATTATTATTATTCTGACGATGCAGACCTGAAAAGGCTGCTAAACGTCAATAAATAAATAAAGTTCGTGCAAATTACGGAATTGAGCCGTCAGGTAGGGTTTTTAAAAACTAAACTTTAAATTATAACTTTATTTATTTAAATGTTTTACAAAATTACTTATATTAATTGATCCCGATGATCAGGTCTTACAATCTATACGTCGAGATGCTTCCACGATTGAAGCTCAAGCAACTTCCAAAACAGTCCGAAGGTTTTACATGAACTAAATCTGTCTAATAAGCACTTTTCAACACGATTGCTCAATCGAGCCACCTGCACTTGGGAAACACATAATGTACGCGTGACGTATGAGTGACGTAGACGAGTCTTGTACTCGTAACACCTTCCCTCCTAGATGAGCAACTATTTGCGAAGATTGAGAGCAAATGTTGCGACTTTTCTTTCTTCGATGGATGGTGTAGAAGCCGCTGATGCCATTTCCATCCCTTGAGGCTGTGTAGATTTAACTCGCTGTTGGTTTGTACGCCACCTCAGGTAGTAAGCCACACTAATGAGTGCAAGTGCACTTAACAGTATGATGACGTATGTAGGTATCGTGGTGTAATATAAGCTGGATAAATCCACGGTGTTAATTCTAACAGATGGGTCCATGAGTAATTGATGTTGAATATTGTCTAATTTGTTCAAATCAATTGTTGTGAAATTATAATGAGGTAAGTTTTTCTTCGAATTTGCAGACATCGGAGTCGAATGTGGGAATGTCATTATTTCAACAGGTTGCCCACGAAATTTGTCATCAGTATTAACAATTGTGAATTCTGGTGTGTGAATGCTGCAATTTCGGGGAATCGTTGCGAAGTAGCTTCCTTTTAACAGATGATATTTTTCTTGTGCGCATGATATTTTTACTTTGATTTTGTTAGGTAATGATAAAATATAATGTTGACTGTCCAGTTCTAGTAGTGCTTCCTTCAGGAGTGATATGGATGTAGGATGGCACTCTCCTGTATTCTGATGATAAATGAGATTGAAGACGCAATCACTGCGTGTTCGGGTTTGATGGTTAAGCTGCTGCTTGCATATGTACCAGGTGTCGATCTTCGGGCATTCAGCCTCCATGTACGCAAATACCTGGGAATTGGATGCCATGTATGGGAATGGTGGAAGAATAATTTCTGAGTTTTTGTTAGGAACAGGACAGAGTCTATAAAGGTCATATGTTTCTAGAGACATTATAGGAAACTTCAAGACAATTACAATTTTCTTAGTAGTAAAATATGATCCTATGGTAATTAGATCGTAATAAAACCTAATATCTAAGTTAAGTAACGCACTGGGATTATATAGATTTTTAAGCTGTGTTAACATATTTTTTAAATCACTTATATATAATATAGAACGGTGCATTACGTTTGTGCGACTAAAAGCTAAAATATTACCTAATCTACTTATTTCAGATGAGAGTTCCAGAATATTTTCCGTAAGTATGCTAAATAATTGGGAAATCTGTGTAAATTGATACATCTGTTCTTTTTCAGTTACAGATGTATTACTTATTGAAATTATTGCTTTTTCTAATTTTCTTTGATTTGAAGAGATATTATTTAAAATTTGAGTTTGTTGGATGATCATTTCTTGATACAAACTAATATGCTTATTAAAAATATCCGAAAGGTCTTTGTCATTGTTTTGCAATATTTTAAGAGCATTCTCAAATCTCAGAGCGTCCTCGTTATCGAGGTTACCCAATATTCTTTTAATGAAAGTTCCTAGCGGGTTAAAATACCTCTTTTAAGCCTTTTTGGTTCAAAGGTTTCTAATCTAGTGAGGTTTTATTAAATTTGCCGTATAAATGCAATATTTGATATTTAAATAGAGCAAAATATCAATTGTATACCCTATTGGATAGATCTGTTAGTTGAGTCTGTAGTGAGTCAATCTGTTGTTGGATTTCATCAAGGTCAATTTCTTGGAGGAAGGAATGGTCATGTAATACAATTTTCGTTAAACCAAGTTAAAGGGGAGAAGTCCAGGTCCATCGGAGAGGACATCAAGTCGCATCATGTTTTGTGTTATGTGCTTACCACACGCACAAGCTTCACCACAGTTTGGCCTGCGCAAGCATCTCGCACGAAAAAACTGTACACTTTGTGCGTTACCACACGGCACAGGTAAGTACGCGCAAGCCTCATTCTTATCGAAATCATTGGCGTGGAAACAATGTTTTCTAATGAAGAAACATTTCTTATGCTACTATTTTTCAAGTGTTTGCTATTTAAAAAAATATGTAAAAACGATAGGATATATACATAATATGTGCAAGTAGGTAGGTAGTAGGTATTAGGCATAGGTATTTAGTTGCAAAAATTATGTTCTTACCTCTTTCCAGAGGCGGCCTTACCGATTGCGAGGCTCCGGGCGGCAGGTCTTTGCGAGGCCCTTTGTCCTTCGTGAAAAGTATGTGATGCGAAAGTAGGTCTGGTTGTTTGGTTTAGGTATTTGTCATGTTTAAGGAAAAATGCTTAAATTATACAAATAAATCAAATTTGAATTTTAAAATATTTTACATTGAAAGATTCACAAAATTAACAAATACAGAGATGATAAATTTTAAAATTGATGTTTGCGGCTTTTCTTAAGACTAAAATCTTTAATTAAAGCACAATAATCTAGCGAATAAGCTACGTCATTTTCGATTGAAAGAATAGCGAGGGCTGAAAGCCGATCTTGTGTCATTGAAAAAATAGTTTTTTTTTTATATTTTTAAAATTTGCTTGGGTTGTTGCGCGAGGCCCCTGTAGGAGCGAGGCCCCGGGCGATTGCCCTGTTCGCCACCCCCTAAGACCGCCACTGCCTCTTTCATTTTATTAATCATTCTTTCGTAGGCGTCGTTCTTTTTATTTCGGTCGGAATAATCTTTAGATTTAATTTTCCAGAGTGCAGGCAGAGATTTGTATAAACTAATTAATTCAGACGTGAATTCGCGATTCTACGTACGCAAATCTACCATTTTTGAGTGACGATGACGAACGACCTCATGAAACGACGAGCGAGCCTCGACTCGAAATACACTCGACTGTGGCTTGAACACTGAACGCCCAACCACACGCACAGACAAGTACGCGCAGGCCGGGCTTGCGCAGGCAAAATTTCAAGCAAGTCGAAAAGTGCGCAGGCCGCGCTGTGGGGTTGGCGCGTGATACAGTTTTACCAACTACACGCACCGTGTTCCGTGTACAAACCGGCCTGCGCAGGCAAAACTGTGGTGAAGCTCGTGCGTGTGGTAGGCCTATTAGTGGACCTGTTTGTGCATGAAAGGGTATTTAAAAGGTTTAAATTGACGTGTAGGCATTCCAGAATTGAATTGTCTCGAAGGCATAAGTGAGTCATGCGAATTAAAAGGCGAGTAATTAAACGGGGAATTGTTAATCGATTTCTTAGAAATTAGCGGGTTACTGGCTTTAGATTGTAAGTATAAGACGTTTAATTCTTCCTGGGCGAAATCCAAGGTCTTTTCTAGCGAGTCGGGGCGCATGCACCTGACACGTGAGCCTAAAGGCTCGGCTAGGCCTTTGGTATATGTTTGAAGAGCAAATTTTTTTGTAAAGTTCACGTTTAGCTTCAACTGTTGTTTTAATTTGTTCGTGTAATTCTACATAGGTCAAAATTATACTAAGTAAATTTTGAACTCGCTCGTAAAATATTTGTGGTGTATCGGAACCTTGAGTTAACATAGATAAATCGGTGTATAGGGCGGACTCGTCTCTGTGGTCCGAAAAGCTGTTGATTAGCACATTTCTTATGCCATTCCAGTCCTGGGGACCATTTGTTGTTAATGTTTTAGCAGCAGGCCCGGTTATTTTATTTAAAATTCCATTAATTAAAGCGTAATTATTTAGTTCATTTCCCGGAGCTGGAACATATGTTAAAATCAGTTGGTCGCAAATGTTCAAAAATCTAATTAAAATGTTAGAATTTCCATCAAACTCAGGAACTAGCCTTAAAGATTTCCAAATCCTGTCTGTCATATCGTTTGAATTAGCTACAGATTGTTGTTCGGTCGCCATTTCTTCTTCTATGCTTTCTAATGTAGATAACTCGATTTCGCGATGAAACCTTAATTCTCTAGAATTAGGACGAATACTGCTCCGCAGATTCGGCCCCATATGCCTATTTTTCTTTGGAAAAAAAAACTTGAAAACTTTCTAAACTATTAAAAGAAAACTTAATTAATTTACTTATTATGTCCTACGGGAGACAGGAAAGGGGCCGCTGTCAACCAATAGGAATATCTAGAAAACTTTCTAAATTATTAAAAGAAAACTTAATTAATTTACTTATTACGTCCTACGGGAGGAAAGTGGCCGCTGTCAGCCAATAGGAATATCTAGCAATCTTTCTAACTATTAAAACAAAATTATTTAATTTACTTATAACGTCCTACGGGAGACAGGAAAGGGGCCGCTGTCAACCAATAGGAATATCTAGAAATCTTTCTAAACTATTAAAACAAACTTATTTAATTTACTTATTACGTCCTACGGGAGACAGGAAAGGAGCCGCTGGCAACCAATAGGAATACGTAACTTATATAATATAACTCACAGGAGCAGGATGCTTAGCTTAGTGTGGTGATGGGCCATCGATTTTTGGATTAGCGCTGCTTTTTGAAGTTGATTCTTCTTTCCCGTCTGACGACTGCTTCGCGTAGATTCGTAGAGATAGTCGACACGCCGACGACACGACTATCAGGCGGATCGAAGTATGATGATCGCACTGACTCGATCCTAGCGACTGCGCCAATTACGGTATTGAGCCGTCAGGTAGGGTTTTTAAAAACTAAACTTTAAATTATAACTATATTTATTTAAATGTTTTACAAAATTACTTATATTAATTGATCCCGATGATCAGGTCTTACAAACTATACGTCAAGATGCTTCCACGATAGAAGCTCAAGCAACTTCCAAAACAGTCCGAAGGTTTTACATGAACTAAATCTGTCTATTAAGCACTTTTCAACACGATTGCTCAATCGAGCCACCTGCACTTGGGAAACACATAATGTACGCGTGACGTATGAGTGACGTAGACGAGTCTTGTACTCGTAACATGCATTAACCCGTTAAAACTAGTTTTATTGAATAAATTAATTTTAACTCTTACCGTATTTATGAGCATGCGCGCTCACACATGCCTACCAGCAAGCGACGACAGCGACTCAAGCGCTGAAACAGCTACTACCGATCAGCTACTGACATTTTGTAGTCCAAACTAATAATATTACAGTCAGGTAATATTTGCCATTTTAAATTTTCGTAAGGGGATAAGTCTGCTCATTTCAGCGTACTCCACAGACTCCACTCTATAGCCAAAAAATACGGATCCTATTAGCCATTTCATGGTTGTTTGAGCTGGGTTATATGGACATTTACCTGATCGCACTGAATATACGAAGAAGCAGCGAAGCCAGCAGGCTGGTTTGGAAGCGCCAGTTTGCATTGCACGGTTCCTGTGATGTGTGGTGACCTTGATACTCCGAGGAACCGGACGTCGTCGCTGCGTCGGGCCGGGTTCGGCAACGGACGATCACCGCGGGGGCCCCGGAGTACTTCGTTGCCGTGGCTTCATCCCGAACTCCCGACTCGCATTGTGGGGACCTCGGTCCTCAGAATGAGTATCGGTTGACAGGTGCAGGAGTGTTTTCTGGTTTTTACTGGGTAGGGCTCTGCTCATTTCAACGAACTTTTGAGTTGGGTGAAATGAGTAGGGAGAAGACCACAGATATCCTTGTCACACGCTTACGGAGGCGAAGGAAGGCGTAAAGCCTTTTATAAAAATGAATAAAGAAAGGACTATCCGGCTCGAAAGACCACGAAATGGAGATGGGTCCTATGATCTGATATGACAGTAAGTTGCGTATCTCTTACCTGTCTGCCGGAGCTCCGCCTTCGACATTCAAGTTGCCGTTACTGAGGAAATCAATTCCAAACTGGTCAGAAGTAAGTGAGGGCCGGATGTGCAGAATACCATGCTGAGTGAACGAGTTGGTACGGTTGTTGTTGTAGTACTGGAATTCCCAATTCTGAAAATATTGTTAGTGATTGTTAATGTTAGTTTAGCTATTGAACAGATTAAGTTACCTAAGTAGAAGAGAGAGAAAAATCTTTTTGTAGATACGTAGGTACTATCACATTAAAAGTAACTTTATCCACTTCGTCGGTTGTTCCTTATATCTTGACATTAATATATATGATTTCCTAATTGATAAAAAGCGTAGATGGATATGAATAGGGCGCCATCATTAATATATGGCTTGACAAATTAGGAAAAAGCGAAGAGGGTGCTATTAGTGAATTAAAATGATTTCAAGAAGATGCCAGCTGAGATGTGTCTTTATTTTTTAATTTTCCGCTATAATGACTCTCTCTTTGAATGATGAATATGAAAAAAAGGTTTCGGGAAACTAGGGGAAAACCTATGTCTACTTCTGTCACTTTATATAGCCACCAGCTGGAGCCCAAACAAAGCAATTTATATCGCTGAACCTTCGACGTACTATTTCATCTGTATAATTTTATATCCAGCCTAATCAGCAATTCAAGATTACTTACTCCACCTCCGGCAAGTGTGTTCTCATGTTGCCACTTCTCCAAGTCAAACTCGTTGAATTCGTCTGAGAATATGAGCGCCCCAGAGCAGACGGTGGCAGGCGCGTGACTGCCACTCACTGTGGTCACACTTGGTCTGCACGCAGCGCTCAACGACGCAAGGGCCACCACGCCCAACAATGTAGACCACATTTTGCTAAACAAACAATAGCTATATTAATATTAGGAAAAGTATAAAGTGAGATTTAAACATAATTGCAACTGTGGAGTTAGCGCATGTCGCGGCGCAAAAAAACCAAATGTAGGCTGATGGGTTCGCGCGGGAAGTTATTTACTGAACTAAAGCATGCGAATTGTTGCACTCGCTGTTAAGATAACATCACTTATTGCACTCTAGTATTACAATCACCAACGCTTTAGGTTGAGAAAACTTGACACATTAGATATAATATAATAATGATTATTTTAATATTATTGATTATGTGTGTATTTACATTAAATTAGTAACCGACATCTTCTTGTTTACTACTAAAGAAGTGTCTATTATCACAGAATAGTAGAGATACAATCTTTATCCAAAGATATGTATGTTGTTCGGCGTTATTTGATATAGGTACAAATTCCAACGATAGGCAAGGCAACAATATGATTGAATACCAGAAAAGAAAGTATTTTAAAAATAAGGTACACTAGACTTTAAACTGGCTCGGGGGTTTAAGCGATGGACACAAAGTTAAAAATAGGTACCTATTAGCACAGAAGTTACATTTAAATTGTGAGGGAAGGATATCTAAATGATTTATTGAAATTAGTTAAAATTTTTGAATTACATAAAATTTAATTAACGCTGTAACTGAAATCCTTTCTTTATTTTATTTATTAATTTAATTATTTGCATACAATAGTTACTAAGTACCTATACCTATAATGTTTTCTAATACAATTTTTTTAATAAATCGATCGATACCGAAGCCAAAAATATAGTTTTTAGTATTTTTGTCTGTTTGTCTGTATGTATGTTCGGGATAAACTCAAAAAGTACTGCATGGATTTACTTCAAATTTGGCACGAATATTATAAAGAAGTCGGGTCAACATATAGGCTACAAATTATCAGTATTATCACGCTACTCCACCCCTAAGGGGGTAATACGGGGGTTGGAAGTTTGTATAAAAGTCCTGTGTTTTTAAAGTAAGACACTTGAAATTTAACATGTATGCTCTATGGAGCATACATGTTAAATTAATTAAATTAAAATAGATCGTGTAGTGTGATAATAATGTATCTTTAGAAATAAACCCCCTTTTGGGGTCAAAAAGTATGTGCAAATAACTAACTCCACGCGTACGAAGTCGCGGGCGGCCTCTAGGCATATCTAAAATATGAATGGAAATAATACATTGTCTAATAAACATGGCTATGGATATCTGTACTTTGGAATATATCTCTCATATAAAAAAAAATAAGTATAAGTATCGTATATTACTTATGTTTTAAATAAACATAAAAAAAATACAGTCGAAACTTACCGTCTGTCTCCGTGAACAAAATCAACTGTAGCTTAACTCATATAAATTAGTGATTTTAATACAACAATTATCTCCATCTTTTATCGTTAATCTTAATGAATTATTTTCAATTATGATTTAATCTTTGATTAGTGACGAAAACAACTTTATAATTTATCGAAATAACACTAGTTGCAATCCTTGATTAGATTTGTAGTGCATTTGGATAATTAACAAACGCAATTGTTTATCTGTACCTAGTACAATATTTTTACACTGATTTTCCTCTGTTTTTCTACAAATCATTCTTTTTCTATCTATACTAATATTTTAAAGATGAAAGATTTGATTGTTTGTTTGTATTGAATAGGCTCCGACACTACAGGTCCTTTTTTCATATTTAGAATCCTTCATTATCCCTGATGAAAATAGGGTATATAGCATTTGCAAAAAAGTTAGGGTTTCGTATGAAAACTTCGATAATATAACCCAGGGTGTGAAAAAATAACCTTATATCGCTTACACTGCGGGTGTCATTTTCAAGAGCAAAGTGATACACTAAAGTTTTATAGAGGACATAAATATCTACAAAAACAATCCGCGATATCATATATCTATTACAGTTATGTCACAATTAAAGGTCCCCTGCGGTTCCACCAGCGTTAATTTGGGGGAAAAGGTTATAGTGAGACAATCTCAAAAGATAGGCATATTATGCTGTTGGAGACTTTTTTATAGAACATTTAAAGGGGAACAATTCCGTCATACATGACTTTTGTGTAACTTTAATCATTTACGCAGCGCACGCGGAATCTCCCAAATGGAATATTTTTACCCGTTTTTGCAACATTTTATATCGGCACACCGCTCCTACTGGTTGCAGCGTAATATTATATAGGTAGCTTGCAGCCTTCCTCAATAAATGCACTATCTAACACAAAAATATTTTTTCAATTCGGACCATTAGTTCCTGAGATTTGCGCTTCTACCATAAAAGTGGTGCATTCGGTATAACTACACGAGTCCTGAACTAAGTATCAAAAATTTCAGTATCAGTTAAATAAATTTTCATGGAAAGTTTATAATTATACCTAGTCAGGTCATAAATTCTGTCACATGTTTAATATAAAATAATTGAAACAAGTTTATTCATTATGTAACCATTTATATACCGGTGCTGCTGAGCCCATCGATTGGTGCCTTGAGGAAGCTGCTTCATATGTGTGAAAAATATGCAGAGGTTCAAATACAACTGTCTTAAAAGTGATCTCAAAAATTTGCCAAATGATAAAAGGAAATTTCTAGCTATCTCCTAACAGCGATAAATTTATAGTTTGTTGACATTTAGTGGTGTTTTTATGAACTACGTACGATGGCCAAAATAACTTGGAAATGACATCTAGTACTAGTTTAGAACCTACGTAGTTTTGGCAATCCTAGCAAAATCGATATGCGTCGTTATGATAAAGATTGTATAACAATATTTTATAAGTAATGGATGTTGTTCGGTCTGCCGCGTTATTGCAGTGCGTCGTCTATGTTTGTCGAGGCGCGTATTGATTGCTTTTACACGATCATTAGAAAGCGCTGCGCCTTGCTGTGGGCGCGCGTGCGAGACAGCTCCAACAGTGTCCTGAGCGCACTGGCTGACCGATGGGACTCCCCACTATTGCGACACTGGCTTAAGCTACATTCGCCAGTCTATCATTATAATTATTTATAAATAACAGACGAGTCCCATCGGAATCCGAATGTGTTATATTGTTATTTATTGTATTTGTGTTCGATTGTACTTTTTTCATTTACTAACACTAGAATAAGATTTCGTCTGTTACTAACACTTGTATATGGATTTAAAGTCTGAAATAAATGTTTATTATTATTATTATATTATATACCAAAATGAACTTAACAAAACATAGATTCTTATGACAATAGAGTTTATTCAAAATGACCTCCGTGATTTTGAATACAGGCCTTCAATCTGCGCGGCCAGTCGTCTATCGCAGCACGAACGAGGTCCATGTCAATATCGGCGGCTGCCTTAATCAAGGATGCCTTGTGTGACTCCAAATTGGGATGATGCTTTGAGCACGCCTTTTCCTCCAAGTGTTGCCATATCTTGTAATCCAACGGAGTCAAATCTGGACTGGAGGAGGGCCAGTCTTCGCGCCGGATGAAGTCGATTTCTCTCAGATTTTCACAGTCTTGTGTGCTCTTCGCTCTATGAGCTGGCGCCGAATCTTGTTGGAATACCCAGTGCCTGTTATTGAACATGGTATGAGAAACATGTTCCACAAGGTTCGTCAGGACTGTATTTTGATACACAACTGCATTAGTTTTTACACTTTCTCACAAAAATGTACCTCTGTTAAGCCCCAATAAGAAACTCCCAACCATACCATGAGCGAGGATGGAAAATGACCTCGTTGGACACGCGGAATACGGTTCCTCGCTTCTTCGCTACTGTGTGCGTACACCTTATCATTTTGTTTGTTGTAGCTCTCTTCTACGGTAAAAACTTTTTTATCCGAAAAAAGAATTTCCAAATATTGGGAAATTCTCTTTTTCCCGCGTACCGCTTCAACAAAGCGCGGCATCTCTTCAGTCTCAGGTCAACATATAGGCTACAAATTTTCAAACAATGTCCTGTTTTTCTTCAATGTGCCCGAAGCCCTAAGTCTTCATTTAACACCCTTTTCACCGTGGTTCTGCTTATCCCCATCTGAAGGGCCAACAGTTTTCTGCTTACGTTTGGGATTTCTTTGAATTCGCGCCTTCACAACTTTTATAACTGCTGTCCTAACAGACCGAGGGCGACCACTTCTTGACCTGTCATCTACACTAGAGTCTTAATTGTATCGTTTGATGGTACTATAAACTATTTTTTTGGTTATATTAAAATTTTTCAGTATGTCAAAAATTTTAATTGGCGCGTAACCGCAACGATGCAACGCAATAACTGCAACACGGTCTTCTTTATGCGTCCACTCCATATTTAAAAATGAGTAAAATTCTAAAAAGTATACATTTTTATTTTCATGAACAATTCGAAATTCAAATTCAATAAACTTTTTTGTGGCCAGCATTCTGAAAGAAAAGTTTTTACTGTGTGACAATACTTATGACCTGACTGTGTATAAAGAAATTCATTGTGTATAAGACAAGCCTGATACAAAATCTATAGTCAACATTACAGCTCTACACCGAAGCGAAGCGAGGGCGGGCCACTAGTCCATTAATATACATAAGAGTCAAGTCAACAAGTTAAAGATAACATACCAAAAATCATAGACATTAACATTAGTACTTAGGCCCGGACCCGACTGACCCGACCGACCCGACCAACGCGCACCCGGAGAGGCGCGAAAAAATTACTGAAAAGGAACAATTTAAACTAGGCTATTGCGCTCCATGGCTCTATTAAGACTTTACCTATTTGTCTAAGGTCATTAACTAAGTATGATTTACTAAGTTTGAGGTTTTATTCCCATGTGAAAAAGCGACCAAGGCTAGTAGTAGGAGTACGTGAGGGTTTAGGTAATGGTGGAAGTGCTTCAAAAAGTGCAAGGTTGCCCCCTCAAGTTATTATGCCGCGCTCGAGTGAATCAAAAATCTCCGCTTAAGGGCTCTCCTACTATCGGTATGACAGGCTACGGGCAATGTAGAGTTCCATAGTTGCCCATCATAAAGCCCAAATGCCAAACTTATATAGGTAGTTCCACATTTCAGGGCACATTTCATAGACTTGCATAACTTTACGGTTACTGATCGGGCATAATCAGTCGTGCGTGCGCGTGTGCTTCAAACTAACGTAGTGCGATACACTGAATGCCTTTGATTTACTAAGTTTGAGTTTTGGTGGTTTTATTTTTATGTAAAACAGTGGTAAAGTCCGTGCCAGGCCGCGAGTACTGTAGGATTCCGTAATTGTCCTTCGCAAAGGCCGAATATCTAAGTTAAAGGTAGCCTGAAATGCTACATTACAACAGCAACTAATCGCTAGAGTTTATAAGATTGTTGATAGAAAAATAAAGGCGACAGCAGAGAAAAATAAGAACAAAAATTATTTACATACTTTATATCACACGACTTCAGTTTATAAAATATTCAAAATGCAGTAACCAAGGAATGCAACGAACTTTCAATTAAGTGAAACGAGTCACTGAGTCATTATAACGTCGATTAGTGCCGATTTCCGGTTCCAGCTGATTGACGGACAGTAAGATTTGGTGGAAACCAACAAACGAACTAAACAAATTTTCACATAACAAGCAAAGGACTGCGAACTTACCAACTGCACCGCAGAACAGAAAAATAATGTTAGTAGATAACTGTTGACGCTTCTTGATCATCAAAATCAAAATCGATTAAAGTTCTTATCTACCCAAATTTTTGATATTTTACCTATTCATTTTATTAAAGTAGGTAGGTACTAATAAGTAATTGTTATCGCCATGCGGATATTATAAGCCACATGTAAACTGGGGCTAAGAATAAGTACCTAGTAGGTAGTTGGTATGAAAAAGTTTTCAGTGTTTCAGTTTTGGTTTACTATGATTACAAACATACAGACAAAACTGTCAGACAAACCGATAGATAAAAATAAAAAGTTCTGAAAAGACTAGAAATGTGTTCTATTACTTATTTTAAGTGTCCATAACTATTTTTTTTGCAAAATAATAGTCAATCTACACACTCGCGAAGCTTACCTAAAGAGGTTGATGATGATGATGATAAAACATCTCAGCCTTGTAACTAGACTGCAGAGTAAGGATCCGAAATATTAGGACATAATTTAATATATATTCAATACACCACGCTTCAAAAAATATTCATCATGATTTAAAAAAGTGAGGGATTTGCTTTAATTAACCAAGACTTGGTGGTTGAATATTCAGAGCTTGGTGCATAGACAAGGAAAGCTAATGTAAAAAATAAGGTTGTGAACGATCGATCGAAGATTGGATCAGTCGGATTTTTTATTCCTTGTGAATTGAACCTAATTTTACTTACATTTGCTCTTCTTTTTCTTAATCTGCTGAAGCAAAATCAATATCCTCGTTCAGATCAGAGTACGTCGTTGTAACTCTTTCTCTCACTGTTTATTCAAATAAATTACCTAGGTATATACTACGCGAGAGGTAACACGATAAATAGTCGTTGAAGCGTAACTAACAGCTAGAGCACACACCATATTGTCGTTTTAATTACTATAGGTACATACTACTTAGATATTTTGTTCTGAAGACTAAAGGTAAATGAATGACAAAGATTAAAATATAAATTTTCCTTATTCCTTTGCTGCGCCAATAGGCTAGTTGACTCATGTCGAATTGTATTAAATAAATGTTTATTTCTTAAAGTATGTTGTCTAAGGAACCTAAATATATCGATTTCACTTCATAAAAGCAGAAGATTGCTGTAGAAATTTAATTTAAAAAAACAATTTTTAGTCTATACTTTTTAAACACTAAAAACGCTGTTCGCCACATCCGCCATGATTGTGACGTCTGTTTTAGTAAACAACTAAATGTCATTCATACATATCTTTAAAACTTGTATTATTAAAACTGATAATAAATGAAGAGACTTAAAATATTATTCAATGAGTATTTACATCAAAGTGATCTTCGCAAAAATAAATTTTACTATGAGTCGTTAAAGTTGCAGGATCCCTTTTAGCAAGTTCTAACCAGATATTGCGTAGGTTAATTTCTTTCGGCACTTTAATCCACAACTTTCCTGGAGTCTTCAAAGATTTTTTTTTTACATTCTCGTACAATACAATAATAATAATTACTATATTTTTCGTGGTATCTATTAGAAATCATGTTTTCTTTTTATTATAAACTCAGATGGGTTATTTTCTACGTGCTTACGAGTTTTTGTTTACTACTGTCAACGTCATAGCATAGATAATCTATAGACTAAAATGGCCGGCAGCGTTTTTGTATGTCCATGAAAAGTCTATTTTAAAATTAAAGATTTGTAGCTTTCTAGGTCTCAAAAAAATACAATACATTTTTTTCGGTCTAATAGAACATTTATTAACCATTTAAAACCTTTTTCCAAAAAGGGTCAACTAGCCTATTGCGCATTTTATGAGTTATAATATTCACAATCAATATTATTATGCAAATTTCGTTATCTATGTCTACATATTTAGCCGGGTACTCATTAGCGAGCTGTAACCGTTACATGCGTGATACAGTACGAGGTTCTAGTGTGTACGCTTGCAGCTAAGTTGTAAACGTCGGCTCTCTGCAAACCGCACGCGTACCACTTGCAGCAGGTTAGCGAACCACGTAGGTCGTACACACTATGCGTTTTGGTTACAGTACATGCAACGGTTACGGTTACAGCTCGCTAATGAGTACCCGGCTAAGCTCGAACCAATATCGAATTCGTAACGTTTGCGAATCCGAAATGTCATTGTCAAATGTGTACTGATTTTTAGTTCTCATTACGTACTTTGTGGCGCTGCTGTTTCCATACAAAATTTGACATTGATATTTCGCACTCGCAAACTATTCGAATTCGATAATGGTTTGTGCCAGGGGTACTGATCATTGATCAGCCGTCCTCAAGCTAAAATGCGGCTAAATGACAAAAACAACTTTTGAGATATGGCCAAAAAACTGCACGTAAACTTTAAATTGTTGCTATTTTGTAACCATTCATCACATGACGGATTTCTAGACTTAAACTTTAAAAAATACGAATACTTGTTATAGACAGATCGATAGAGAATTTAAAACTGTATACGATGCAATTGAGAACTGAAAAATCGACCACATGTCACTTCGCCGCATTTTAGTTTGAGGACGGCAGTGATCTGAGATCACGTGCTAATAGGTATGTATCACATTGTTAGGAAATGGTGCCAATTCTGGCGTGATTCTCTAATAGTAGGAGATCCGAACTAAAAACGATCTTCACCGAGCTGATAATAGAATGAATCATATTTTATAACAAATTTAGTATGTTAGAAAATATGTTGAAAATGGGTTGCCTAAAAAAATCCTGGACAGACAATTTTTAATTATTTAATTATTTTTTATTTTATTTTTATTTTTGCAACATCAAGATAATAAGAAAATTTTTACCCTGACTTAAAGTATGAAACGTATAGAATGTGCAGCCGTTGGGTTGCCTATTATTTACCTGGACAAACTCCTCGGTTGTCAGGTATAAACAGGTATGTCGATGCCAGTTACCTTCACTCGATTAGATAATCGAAAAAAAATATATCAATATGTGCGTTGTTTTATTGCGAACACGGTGATATAGGGTTGTCTGCAAAAAAACTTGGTCCTAATAGGGGTTTGCGAATTTTGAAGATTTTAATTTTAACGCGAGTGGAAATGTGTGACAGAGAGATCCGAATTGAGTATAGCGTGTAATAATAAAGGACACAACATGGCACAACTGACATTTAAGTTGTAAATAATAATAATTATAATAATATTATAATACTAAAATATTAAACAATAAAACCTCAATTAAATAAATTAATAAATATATATAAATGATTATGATTTTATTTATTTTTTAAGCATTTAACTTCATTTGACATTGTGGGTTGCCTACAATGCGAAGAGATGGCGCTGCCTTGCAGCCTAAGGCTAGGAAAATTTCGACGCGGCTAAGAGGGCCGTGGTAGCATAATGGTCAGTGCATTCGCCCGGATTGCGAAGGATGCGGGTTCGAGTCCCGTCCGCTGCCTGGTCCGCGTGGATTTTTTTTCTAGTAAACTTTTCTTTAGATTTAAATATATAAATGAATTTACTTATTGACTTATAAGTATCATTATATATTTATACAAGTTTTTGTAACTCAAAATATAATGACGTAAATAATACAAATATCAATACTTTGAATTTTTTTTTCTCTTTCTGGAAAAAAATATGAGAAACAAAGTGGACAGCCGAAAATTCAAATCCATGGATAAAAAAAAAGATAGACTAAAAATCTTGTATTACGTTTGAAAATTTTATTAAAAAACAGCATAAATACAAAAATAATATCAATAAAAAATAAATTATAATAAATATTTTCTATTCTATATCTGATTCATCAGAAGTATAATTTTGATTCTCGAATTCATCCGACTCATTATTAGTTTCTTCCTCAATTTCTTCCATTTCGACAATGTCTTGGATTTTCAAAGGAGTTTGATCTCTGATAAAACCAGTTGGTTTTAAAAAATCATCTAAATGCCAACCGTAGCTTTCGGGGTTTAATTTCGCACATATAATTGTTAAAATTAAAATCTTCAAAATTCGCAAACCCCTATTAGGACCAAGTTTTTTGCAGACAACCCTGTATCACCGTGTTCGCAATAAAACAACGCTCATATTGATATAAAAATTTTTCGATTATCTAATCGAGTGAAGGTAACTGGCATCGACATACCTGTTTATACCTGACAACCGAGTAGTTCGTCCAGGTAAATAATAGGCAACCCAACGGCTACACATTCTATACGTTTCATACTTTAAGTCAGGGTAAAAATTTTCTTATTATCTTGATGTTGCAAAAATAAAAAATTAATAAAAAATAATTAAAAATTGTCTGTCCAGGATTTTTTTAGGCAACCCATTTTCAACATATTTTCTAACATACTAAATTTGTTATAAAATATGATTCATTCTATTATCAGCTCGGTGAAGATCGTTTTTAGTTCGGATCTTAGACTATAAACTTAAAACTAAATTTAACATCAGTCTCTCCTTTTCATTCTGTATAGAGAATGACAAGGATATACTGCTGTCAAATTTAAGTTCAGGTTTAGAGAATCATGCTAGAATCGACACTACTGACTTTCTATAAGTACTGTGGCATGTTCCCGTTGTGCTTGGAAGATGTACAGTCACACACAGCCTTACCATGCTCACATATATTCTAAATATTGGCCTTCGGTAGGAAATTCCGGGTTGAATGGTAGATACATGCATTCAAATAGAATCACAGACTAAACTGCCAATATTATGTTATAATTAATGATTTATGTATTTGGATTTGCTGAATATAACTACTTACGAAAATAAATATTAATTCGGAACACCGTGATCAACTGTAATTATTGAGAATTGGAAAATTATTTTTTCTTCACGATTATCTGTGTGGGACCTCTTTTAAATCACATAAAAACATTAATGACAATGTCTTTATTATTAATGCAATACACAACAATCATTACAATATAGTTTGTCAAATGGTGCATATTTTATGCATCATTTGAACCTCGGTTAGCAAAAATGGAAAATCTTTCAAGTATATTTGATTAGTGACAACAAAATCAATAATTGGAAATTGCCAAAAACTAGGAAATGGGAAATGGTAAGTTAGATGCTCTATTATCAGCAGGTACATTTCGTTGTGCCTAGTATCTCATAAGTTTGCTCAGTTGGTATTCCTCTATCCTCGGATGCTTTCAAATAAAAAGTAATGAATCGGCGGCATACGTACTATAACTTCTACAATTTTTCTTCCTCCATGTCATTGAGGTACTTACCTCTTACATAGTTTGCTGTGTTTTATAGGTGCAGTTTCAGAGAAAAAGTGTACCAGCAGTAGTTTAGCGTATAAATGTAGAATTCTGTTGAATTACGGTTATTTCTTTTTATAACGTAAAGGTGAACGTAAAGTTTTATGATTTCTTACGCTTTATTCTTTTTGTATTTGCAGATGGCGGGTACAATTAAATTATTAAGAGGACGTGGTCTACCAACAGTATTATTTATGTCAAATATTGCACGAGTCAGCTCAATTAATCTGAACTACTTGCTATTTTCAAATCCATTACGAACATCCTTTTCAAATCATTTACGAACTTCCTCCATTCGTATTTCCCCATCAATCAAACATCTATCCAAACCAACTCTGTTTCGACATTTGAATCCAGACAGAACAGATGTGCCAAAGTTATTACGACCCAATTTATGCAATTTCGATATTATTAATGGTTTCCCAAAATCATTTTTCTTTAGACGTAAAGACAGAGATCCTAAAAAGAGAAGAGTGCCTAAATTGATATTAATACAAAATCCATTTACATGGCTGATGATTAAAATTGATTTTAGCGTATTAAGAAATGTTTGGGATCCTTCGTTTGAAGAAAGTGAATTTAAATACGGAACTAAACAGGTAGCTCACCAACATGGACCTTGTTGTTTATTATAATTAATCAATTTTATTCTACGCTATAATTGTGGATTACGACTCTTTCCAAAATTTAGGCAATCTCCCGCGTAACTCAAGTAATCAGTGATGGCCAATATGCAGAATTAAATGGATTATTAACTAAGCCCGCCCGGATTAGCTTAATGCGAGAGCTTGAAAGAAATTGGAGTGGGCGACAGCGCACGTTGCTCTCTTTAAATCGAGACGACATTCAAATAACATCACCTCGGAAAGTCTACTTTATTAGAATTGCTGGTAAAATCTATCTTTTTTAATTAACACTAACATGTGATATTGATACATTTTCTATCTGGGAGAAGTTCATTAAATATAGCTCTACGCAGACTCAGACAGACAGAGAATTCTTTTTTATTTTATAAAACTTCTTTAGAGATTTTACATTCTATGAACTTGCCTTTAATTTGCCTTTTTTAATTATAAATATTTTTAGAATTTCACTATTAATGGGGTGTAAGGGGTTCTTAATATACCTGCAAGAACCCAAGCCAACCTCACCTTCACGTGGTGCACCCTGTTGACCAACAGACGAGGCTCTGGCAAACCGACCGATGGCGGTATAACCATCCAACGACGTAGGGGAGGAAAATCTCATTGGTGACGGGCAGCAGCGTCATCAGTGAAATAACCTACGTTCTGCGATCGCCAACCCGCCTGCCCAGCGTGGCGATTATGGGCAATACCTTGAATGCACACAAACAAAAAGCCACGGCCCCCAGTTCCCGGTAGCCCCGTTATTCCTGGTCACGGTGGCGACCACGGTAACGGCGGGGCGGGGGGTGCGAAGAATCTCCGGGCTACGGGAGGCCACCACAATAGACTGACCCCGGCGACGTACAACGGACGCACGCTACGGCTTGACTCGCATCTGGCGCAACTCGAAGTGGAACTTGGGAAGATTAGGTGGCACATTTTAGGGTTAAGTGAAGTCCGAAGAGAGGGGGAGGACACCATAACGCTCGAATCTGGCCACCTAATGTACTTCCGCGGGGGAGACCAACAGTCCCAAGGTGGCGTTGGGTTTTTGGTGAATAAGTCCCTTCCCGATAACGTTGTGGAAATATCCAGCGTGTCGAACAGGGTAGTGTACCTTATTATAAAGCTCACCGAGAGGTATAGCCTCAAGGTGGTGTAAGTGTACGCACCGACCTCGACACACTCGGACGACGAAGTGGAGGATATGTTCGATGATATATCGAGGGCCCTCCACTCCACTACTAAGACCCACTACAACGTTGTTATGGGGGACTTCAACGCTAAAGTGGGAGTACAGAATTGCAGCGAATCGGTAGTAGGATCCCATGGATTTGGAAGCAGAAATCATAGGGGGCAAATGCTCGTCAACTTCCTCGAACGGGAGGGGCTCTTCTTGATGAACTCTTTCTTCAAGAAACAACCCCAAAGGAAGTGGACGTGGCAAAGCCCCGACACTATGACTAAAAATGAGATCGATTTCATCATGACGGACAAGAGGTACATATTCAGAGACGTCTCAGTGATCAACAGGTTCAATACCGGTAGTGATCACCGACTCGTCCGGGGCTCTTTGAATATCAACTTTAAGGCCGAGCGCGTCCGTTTGATGAAATCCAGGCTCCAACCTACTCTGCTCCAATCTATAACAGGGTCTGAAACGTTCCAGTCAAACCTGGAGAACCGATTTGCTGCCGTGGAAACCACAACAGACGTAAACCAAAACCTCGGAAATGTGGTTTGGATCCTCAGGGAAGAGGGTACGAGATTATGTGCAACGCAGCGTAAGGGCAGGAAGTCAAAGCTTTCGGAAGAGACTTTAGGGCTAATGAAGGAACGACGTGAAAATCCACCCGTCACTTCGTCGGCAAAGCGGACTCTAAACCAAGAGATCAGTAAGCACGTACGACGCGACCTCCGGTGCTCCAATACTCTCTCGATCGAGAGAGCGATCGAGCAGAATCGAGGATCCAAAGTGTTCGTACAATCTCTTGGAAGAAGCCATCTGACGAAGTTGACCACAGCAAGTGGGGAAGTTGTTGCTTCAAAGCCGGCAGTCCTTTCGGAAGTGGAAGACTTCTACAGCCAGTTGTACGCATCACATGCATCTCGACCCGATCCTGGAAATGAGGATTCTAGAGCCACATTAACACGCCACTTCACCGAAGACCTGCTAGAAGTCAGTATTGGCGAAATCGAAATTGCTCTTGGACAGCTTAAAAATGGAAAAGCCCCTGGAGAGGATGGTGTTTCAACAGAACTCTTAAAGGCTGGAGGTAAACCCGTACTGAGGGAGCTCCAAAAGCTTTTCAACACTGTCCTGTTCGAAGGGAGAACTCCGGAGGCGTGGAGTAGGAGTGTGGTTGTCTTGTTCTTTAAAAAGGGGGACAAGACCCAACTTAAGAACTATCGACCCATATCCCTTCTAAGCCACGTCTATAAGCTGTTCTCAAGAGTGATCGCGAACCGTCTTGCGCGAAGACTTGATGACTTCCAACCACCGGAACAGGCTGGGTTTCGGAGCGGATACGGCACCATAGACCACATACACACAGTGCGGCAGATTATACAGAAGACTGAAGAGTACAATCAGCCCCTGTGCCTAGCATTTGTGGACTATGAGAAGGCCTTTGACTCGATTGAAATCTGGTCTCTTCTGGAGTCCCTGCAGCGTTGCCAAGTCGACTGGCGATACATCCAAGTGATTAGATGTCTGTACGAAGCCGCCACCATGTCTGTCCAAGTACAGAATCAGCAAACAAGTCCCATACCATTGCATCGTGGAGTGAGACAAGGGGACGTTATTTCCCCGAAATTGTTCACTAATGCAACGGAGGATATGTTCAAGACGCTGAACTGGAAAGGACGTGGCATCAACATAAATGGCGAACGCATCTCTCACTTGCGATTTGCAGACGACATCGTCATCATGGCAGAAACCCTGCAGGACCTACACCAGATGCTGAATGACCTGGCTGACTCTTCTATACGCATCGGCCTACGGATGAACTTGGATAAAACCAAGGTCATGTTCAATGAACATGTTCTACCGGAACCGATTGCAATACACGGTGCCGTTCTCGAAGTTGTTCAAAAATATGTGTACCTCGGGCAGACATTGCAGTTAGGTAGAAACAACTTTGAGGACGAGGTGAATAGAAGAATTCAGCTAGGTTGGGCAGCGTTTGGGAAGTTACGTCAAGTCCTGACATCGTCGATCCCACAGTGTCTGAAGACGAAAGTCTTCAATCAGTGCGTCCTACCTGTGATGACATACGGAGCCGAGACGTGGACACTGACGGTACGGCTGGCCCACAGGTTCAAAGTCGCTCAACGCGCTATGGAAAGGGCTATGCTCGGCGTTTCTCTGAAGGATCGCATCAGAAATGAGGTAATCCGGCAGAGAACCAGAGTTATCGACATAGCCCACCGGATTAGCAAGTTGAAGTGGCAGTGGGCTGGCCATATTTGTCGAAGAACCGATAACCGTTGGGGTAGACGAGTTCTGGAGTGGAGACCGCGTCTAGGCAAACGTAGTGTAGGACGTCCTCAGGCGCGATGGAGTGACGATTTGCGCAAGGTGGCTGGCAGGAGCTGGATGCGAGTAGCCCAAGATCGATCTAAGTGGCGTGCATTTGGAGAGGCCTATGTCCAGCAGTGGACTAAGATAGGCTGTTGATGATTGATGTTGATGATGACTATTAATGAGAATGAATGCAGTAATAATTATTTATTTCTTAAGTAAGTACGTACGTTACGTGATGTGTTTATTGTAGAATCTTAATAATTCAGTGACTGTTTTAATACCTAGGTAACAGATAAGGTATTATCGTTTTCTTATCAGAGATAATACCATCTATCTTGAGTTGACAGGGGGGGGGAGGGGTTACTTATTTACAATACCATTTCTGATTTACAGATAAGAAATTTTGCGATGTTGATATGGCGTTCTTAGCACTGAAGTGGGTGCCGATAAACAGCATAGAAGCTTTAATTTTCACTGAAATATTTGCAAGATTTCATCGCGAGTACACGCCACATTCGATCCCAGAATGGACCATAGCCTTTTTTAAAGTAACCCGGTTTGAAATTTTAAGAAGATAACACTAATAAGAAAATGTCAATGTAAACTTTTTTTATTACCGTAATCAATACTCTACCAAAATGTAACCAATTTAATAATCATGAACGTTCCTACATATGAAATAAAAAGGCAGAAATAAATAAAATAACTTTTTATTTGAGTTCAAATTTTGATTTAAGTTAGATCTGTCAAAGATCTAGTATAAGTGTGTAGGGATTTTCTAGGTATTTCTTGAGAGAATTGGAGAAGCGGGCCATTGTGACACCGTCGATAACACGGTGGTCAGCTGACCAGCTTACTGCCAGAATGTGAGCTTTCACTACATTACCCGATGAGTCAAATCGTGGTAGTATCTAAAATTAGAACAAAGTCAAATATTAATATTACTCGTTTCAACAGGAAAATGTACGTCTTCCGTTTCAAAAATTAAATGCTTTATTATGCTTTCTGAGTTTTTCTTGCTTCTCGTCGTATCATCTGCTCGTTAAGGAAACGCACATTATTAGAACTAAAGTATCAATCGTTAAATATTTCTTTAGGTTTTTTAAATAAACGAAGTACGTATACTTGCCTGAATCTTCCCTAAAGCACCAATTGCTACTTGTGGTGGTAATATTACAGGTTTTGTATAGGTGCCCCCTACCTGAAAAATAAATATAATATCTTTGGTTTAAGTTAGTCAAGAAAGGAGATTGCTCAAATTGGCCTAAATGCACAAAAAATATTGACATATACGGTAATTCTTGGCGTAATTTATACTTTATTTTACAGTCATTTCATTTTAACGGACACCTTTGTATAATATATTCATTTTAAAAAGGACTTTTAATTTTACCGGTTTGAAATACATACGAATCATTTTTAATGGCTATGGATGTAGTAACATTCAGCCAAAGACTGATCGAAGTTGTTTATGGTGTCGATTCTGGCACGATTCTCTAAATCTAAACTTAAATTTGACAATAGTGTATCCTTGTCATTCTCGATACAGAATGAAAACGACAGACTTATGTTAAATTTATTTTTAAGTTTAGAGAATCACGCAGGATTCGACACCTATATAACATTAAATCAAATCTATTTTGTAAAGCTCGATAAAATAAAACATTTATTTATCACACTGTGGTATTAATATCCACAACTTTATTATCATTTGCAAATGTGCTAAGACAATTATTATAGATGGTAGGCAACATCATAAAGTCCATTGCCATACATGTTTCGCCAAACACAATCTAAAATATGGTTTAACGAGAGTTTAAATATTCTCTGTAATCTGTGGCTCATTCACAATCATCACACAGTTTCTGTCACAGAGTACCTTCCTCATTTTAACCAGAAATGCATAGATGATACCTCATTTTAAAAGTTACTCTTGTGCATTAACTTTAAAAACAGGCAACTATTTGTTAATCTACATGCTCTTTAGACATGAATCTAATACATACTCGTAATTTCGGTACTTGGCTTGATTTCCCTAGTTTACTATATAACTTATTTGTTATTTATTATTTTAATACCTATGTACCTATTTGCAAAAATAACCTCAAAATCGTTCAGTGTATATGGTTTTTAGAAGTTCTCAGGGGTGTCCGTAAATAATATTCGTTTCTACAGTAGTTTATATGTAATTTCGAATCTAGGAAACAACTTTTCATGATTATTGGTCTTTAGGCCAAACATGTATGGAAGCTGAGCAATCTCCTTTTTACGATATTGTATAGCTTTTATCGCGGGCTTTGAGCGCGGCGGCCGAATCAAGAAATTCCGTAACGAAAATAAACCTAACACCCCCCACTCCGACCAGCACAGCGGTACGGCGTTGAAAACCGTGCATCGTCTAACCGTTTCAGTTTGAGAGACTGCGGCACGGTGTTTGTGTGCGTGCGACTAGACGTATGCGTGTAGACTAGCTGCTAACTGTTCATAACCGATTCTATCTCTTTGACACAATGCTAGGTGAGACAGCGTGCTTAAACCTATAGTTTCGATGATCAAAATTCCTGAATAACCTACATGTATTGTAAGATAATCAAAATATTTTAAACAATATCAACTTCTCATTTATTCAATAAAAGAAAAAAAATGATTTCCTATCGGCCACCACGTTCAAAAAGTGTAACTTAAATTATTATCAAAGAAAAACCTTGAATTAATGTCAAAGAAAATAAAATACTGCATAAATAAAATAAATAAATAATTATAATTGCATAAGTTGATAAAAGATTCTATGTAATGGCATTACCGCGGCGGTCCCCGAGTGCCACACGTTTTTTTTTCACATGATTTTCAGGCCTATAGAAATCCTTTTCCTACAGTGCGTATGGGGAACTGCGTGAGAAGGCTACATTTTGTTATGTAAAAATATCATAAGATAAGAAAGATTGAATGCAAGCATTTTATTATGCTGTTTACCCGGCCATTGAAAACTATTTATTTTCACAAAATATATTCTTGGAACACAGGCAAACTCATGCCCTTAATTACATGACTGACTGAAGTAAAACTAATACTTACTATTATTAAGTAAGACATTCTCAATTATTGAATGATGCACTTACTATTCCAACATTCGATATTGTAAACGTCCCACCGGTGAGGTCATTGAGACCGAGTTGACCTTTTGTGCCCTTCTCCTGCAATGCGTTCAGCTCGCGTGCTAATTCCAATATACTTTTATTTTGGACATTCTGTAATGTAATATGGTTTCTTATTTTTATAAGTCCAGTTAATCTTACTTATATGTTTATGATGAAATTTAAGTAGGTAAGTAGGTATCTATTGTAATGAAATTTATTATTTTGTTTTTGGTAATTTTCGTATCAAGACTTATTTTTTTCTTTTATTAATCGTAATCCTATTCCATCATATTCCCTCTTATATATATATATCTCTCTTATTTATGGTAAGTTAGTCGGGATGGAATGCTTCAAGCTGTGATTGAAATATGAACTACAGTATTCTATGTGCTTTAAGCTGCTCGTGTACGGCTGGTCTAAGAGAGAGAACATAATTGACGCTTTAAGGTAGGCTTAAAGCATAATATTGCTTTAATTGTAGAGGAAATTCATTCCATATTATGTTTACAAAATCATCACTACCAAGTACCTCACATTCACATAGTAAAATCCTTGTCATTATTTTTATGGAATGAAAAGGAGAGACTGATTCCAAATTTACAATGTGAATAGCCATGTGAATTATTGCCAGTAAGATTATTAGGCAATACGAGACTGTTTAAAAAAGGAACTTTGAAATAACATCTAGCTGTAGGTGTATGGGACTTTGGACCTTTGGAAGTAATACTTCAACTCACCTTAATAGTTGGCACAACTAAGCCATTGGGCGTATCCATAGCAACACCAATATTGTGGCTGCCCTTGTACGTTAGGTTTTCACAAGTGCTATCCAAGCTGCTGTTAAGAATCGGGAAGGCCGTGAGGCTGAGTGACGCTGCCTTGATAATGATGGGCATGTAGGTAAGTTTGACGCCGTGCTCCTCTGCTATGGTTTTCAAAATTTGCCGGCACTCTACTAGCTTCGTCACGTCGTACTCATCGCTAAAACCGAAATGTGGAACTTTCTGAAAGTAAATAATAATGTTGTTTGAAAGTACCACTATAGCACTATAAATAGTGACGATTAGTACGTTATTTTGTTATTGGCATAACAAATAACCAGGCGGTTGTGAACTGTTTTTGGCGCAAGATACCTACTTGTATTGAAATCTGAACAGATGAAAGATTCCAAGATAAAATCCTGATCGTAGCAAGGGATTTAAAGGTACGTACGAGACGCGGAATAATCTTGCTGCCAAGCTAAACACACAGCTTTTCACCTCACTACAGCGAAGATAATGCTAGGTGCAAAAAAGTTTATAAAAGAGCAGACCAGTGCACTGCTACGGGGCATCCCCAAAACTCCCCTCTTCTGGGGGGAGAGGGGTGTGTCCGTTGGACTCGGACTCTCACTGCTGTGGTCGAGATTCTGTAAGGGTTCCCGTGGCCGTTGTCTCAACCACGCTGGTTGGGATCGTGGACCGAGTGAGGTGAGGGGGCATCGTCAGGTTTTTAGTGGGTAGGGCATCCCCTCCAGGGCGGTCGCTGAGCCAGTCCCAGGACTGGGCAGCACGGGTCGGGAGGAGTCCCACATAACCCCGTTGCCACCCCCAGGTGGCGGGGTAAGGGTCATGCATTTTCCTGACGAAAAAAAAGACCAGTGCACTGACATAAAATTAACATAATAATATATTCAGTGGACAAAGGTTTAAAAAAATGGAAATATTTAAAAAAAAGTCCACCCTAGGAAGCAAGGAGGACTTTAGTAAGATGAACAATTGATTCCGTGGCAATACTGATTTAAGACTGCCTGACTGTAGTGCCTGGGTTAAATATTTATCCATTTACCGTAACACTACTAATTTCATTTGATCGCGCAAACATACACTTAATTAGATGCATACACCTGAATAAGGCTAGTATTGTGAATTTCGCTAATAATATAGCATGTTTTTCTTGATCTTTAACGGCTGCATTCAGAGAAGTCAATTAAAATTAACGCTTCATTAAGGTATGTATTTCTATTGCAAATACAATGGTAATATGAACTTAAACCAAATTTGTAATTGATGTGTTGAGAGACATAATATGTGATATATGTTAAATAATTATAAAAACTTACCATTGCTTCTGTCATAGATTTCACCATAACTTTAGTAAAACCAGTGACTGGCACTGTTTTGTCGTCGAGTACCATTTCAGTTTTCACGTGTGCAGAAGTGAGTGGGTAGGTGACGGCTTGGACTGATGAGGAGGTCACATCTGGAACCTCATTCGACTTATCCGCCGATATGTTGAGGTGCGAGAGCACATCTTCTTTCATAACCCTCCCATTTTTTCCAGTGGCCCTTATTGTACTTAGATCTACCTTAAAAGTAAAGTTATGGTTTGATTATTTTCCAAGATTTCTATTCTATGAGAAGTAAAATAATAAAATAGTGGATTGTAAATTGTGTATTGCTGCTGCTAGAATTGGAACCTTTCTACATCGGTACACAGGGTAGAAGATGAAGTCAGAAATGACAGAGCGCAAGTAATATAGATATTTAGTAGTACTCGTGGTCTCCTGTTGACAGAAATTCACTTTAGTGTCTCACAGACAGAGGCGGGCTGCGGTCGCGGCCAGCCCTCATTAGTCGTTCGTGTTTAGATCCTCGCTTACATTGCAAGCGAAAATAAATGTTTGCCACCCTGGCCGCGGCCGCAGTTCATATCCTCCTTTGACACTATAGAGTTACAAAGTCAACAAGCAAGCCTCATAGTTACGCCATGTCTATCCGTCCGTTCGTCCATGATTTCACAGTTTAGCAAAGTGACTAGGTATTGCAAAAATCCTGGATCAAGGAGTAAAGTGGACATAAAAATGCCAAAATATCTATCCTGAATCTTTGCAATGGTTTTACGTGTATTGAGGGAATCACTGGAACGATGTAATTTGGCATGAATAAATATAAAATAAAATACATACATGATACATGCCGAGAAAGTGATAAATAAAATCTAATAAAAAATATGATTTTAAGGTAAATCTGTTACACGTAATGTTAATTGTTGTTAGTCTTTATTTCGTCTACTCCATGCTGACATTGGTGACATGTTGATTAGAAATGTAGCGGATTTGTAAAAACCATATTTCGTTTAATCGATCCGCTTATGAAGCTTGAGAGTGCAAATATTTGAGTTATGAAATTAAAATAAAATTTGAGTAGGTAGGATCTACAATGTAATGAATAATTTGTACAAATTCTATTGAAAATTCCTATTAAACGTTGTGTAATATCTAAAGATGCACTTATTATTTTAAAATAAGTTCATGAACCATGTAAAATATAATACCATTATAAAATGCTGACTAAATTTATACTCATGAATAACGCATTGAGCGGTTGTTTTCAGTATGGGACAGAAGCTTTTTCACCTAATGTTCTTACTTGAAATTGTGACGCGATTCTTCTAACTGCAGGTGTAGTTAATACTTTAACTCTTTGTTTTGTTTCTGTCTTTGGAGGGTTGGAACTTGATTCTTCTGATTTTATACTCTGTGCTGTATCTGTAACGTAAAACATTCATACATCTTAAGTCATACAGGGTGAAATTGAATGTTTCAATGAAACTTCGTGGGATTATTGGGTTACGTATATAGAGTATCTCTGATTTTTTTCGGATTTTTTAAAAATGATTTAAAATAAAATTTCGTTTTTTTTTTGTTATATTTTAATCTCCTTTTGGGTACTAAATAATTATTCTTTTTAAACACTCATACAGAGTAAGTAAAAAACAACTAATTAGCACTACTAAAAAAACGTAAAAACAGAAGACGAGCGGTCGGGAGCAATGACCGCTCCCGCCGTTGAATCGGTTGAATACCTACCTATGCGCGGTGCAAAGCGCAGTGAGCGAGCGCAGTGTCAAGTTTATCCACCGCGCTTGCGTATCTTTTAAATTTGGGACAAGAGAAGATTTGCCTTGAAATAATGCCTTGATTAGTTCTTGTTCTGTGGCCTCAATATAAGAAGTTGGATATGGTGTGTTGTTATTGTAGTGTCACGGTATACTCAGCAGAGCCACAAGGCTTTACGAAAGTAGGTTTGGTGATTGATTGTGTTTACAAAGTGTATACGGGAAGTTTATGTGAAAAAAATGAATAGGTACATCGGTCTCGTAAGTACTTTTGAATACCGGGTTATAAATTTCACCCAAGTATTGAACTGCAATAAGTATTTCTTTTTGTTTAACATTTGCCTATTTCTAATCGTGACAAAATTATTATTAACTTTTAAAGTTTTTCTCCGCTTAAGAGAAGATGACATTTGTGCTTATTATTTCAACAAAGGCATCTAAGACGACTTTATTGTATTGTGTGGAATCAAAGGAGTCAACTGAACTCTGTGTAGAGGTACGTACTCACTCAACGGCTGGCGGGCGCGGTCGATCGTTGACCCGCCGTGGAATTTTAATGTTTTTCCATTTTTTGAAGTACTTATTTATTAGTTATTTTTCACTGGATATGTAAGTTTGTTTGTTTAAAATGAATAACTACTCAAAAGGAGGAAATGACATAAAAATACACAAATTATAAATAAAAACATGAAAAAAAATACTTCAAAAAAATCCGAAAAAAATCAGGCATACTCTTTTCACGTAACCCAACAATCTCACGAAGTTTCATTAAAACATTCAAATTCACCCTATATTTTATTGTAATTAGGTAATAGTAGCATAATTATTGCTTCATGTTAGATGTCACGATTTGAAGTTTTTGAGCTTGAAATACATCCTTCTTAAAAGCTTTAATTATTTAATGTTATTTATCCACAACCAATTAAGATAAAATTTTGTATACTCAATTCATTTTATGTTATTTATGTAAATATTTCATATGAATTTACAGCTTTGATGACCGCATTCAGAGACATGACGTGAAGTATTATTCTATTAGTCTCGAAAAAAGCATCAACATAGCTCATAGCTTAAATAATTTGGTGTCTTTGATTGTGCTCATAAAAGTTTTAGGATTGTGCATGTCTTTCGATCTTACTTATTATCATAGATAAATGATTGGTCTCGAGTGAAGCGAGTCCAATCATTCATCTATGCTTATTATATTATACTATCGTGACGATCGGTTGGTACAGGAGCCCTACTTTCTTCTTTTCTCCTTCTTTCTTTAAAGATCCCAGGTTTAAATCTAGTGGGACATTTATTTGTGTGATGTGTACGAATCACGTAGCTTCGTTTGGTCCCGTATCATGGTTGTTTATACGTATTACCTATATTATTTTTTTAGTTGTCATATACTCAATAATTTCTGTATGTTAATATTTATCAGTAAACTATCAAAAAAAAACTTATTTCCAAGTGTATAAATTCCTAAAGAGTTACATATTAGTCATAAAAGCTCACCTTCGTCGGCAGAGCCTTCAATTTCAATATCTACTAGTGGTTTTCCAACAAGCGCGATTTGGTCAACTTCGTGATAAAGTTTGGTGATGACCCCGTCATATCGACTGCTGATGGTCACTGCAGCTTTATCACTCTGCACTTCACAGATATTGTCAAACTGTTGCACTTTATCACCTACTTTCACGAACCTGAAAAGGCACTTTAATAATAAAAAATAATAGTAGACAAGTATTGTCTTATGTAAAACAGCCTTATTTAAAGTGAAAGTTATCAGAATATAATCCAGCGGTTATCAAAATTTCAATCTTCATTGGTATAGAAGGCATGTTTTTATGGAGAAGACTTCATACACTTATGGTGGCTACACACACTCTGTTGGTGAGCAAAGTGTCCAAAGTTTCATTTATGGGGAATTTCCTATACTTTACAGTAGAGGACTCTCTTTCTCTCTCTGTGAAGAGAATAGGTATCAGCTAAGTTCACAAAGGACTCAAATTTCGCTTAAGATCAGCTGGGGTAGGATAATTTGCTGCGCCTTGTATAAGTCCTATGTTTTTTTTTTTCTATTACGAGAACTAAATTTTTTACCTAAGTTAATGAAGAAGATGATTTGAACCCACCATTCTTTAATAACCACTTCTCTGATGCCTTCACCGATGTCGGACAGATTGAAAGCGACCGTCTTGTGAGCCGTAACACTTGTGTGGAACTGCCGCCATTTGTTTTGTGAACTAATAACGTTTATTTGACAATTGTGTACACTACATATCCCCGAATTGTTTCTTTCCTGCAAAAGATTTCACAGATTCATTTAGTTTTTTTAAAAACTAAAGTTTCTTATTTTTCTGCATTCGACTGTGTGGTTGGGGACTAGGCGGTAAATAGATAAGCGAAAAGGTTTAGTGTCATTATAATAATAAATAAATTACTTTTTAGCCCACTAATTCTTACTGAACTCACTCAATAAAAAATACCTGCATGCAAACGTGTGAATATACTATTGTCACAAACTATCTATCCTAGTAGTACTATCCTCCATCCGTTATGATTTCAAAATCTTGGCCTTAACCTTGGAAGATAATATATTAGATAAAAATATTGGAGCACAAACAAAAACTACTTACCTATCAACAATAATTACATAATTATATATATATATATATATAGTATTCATAAAACTATTTACCTATTAAGTTGATAAGAGTGTTTGTCAAAAACCTTATCTTATTGCTAAAGCAACAAATATCACAATCTTAGGGCCCATTCTTTAGGTAAAACTTCTTGTGTAAAAAAGTTTATAACATTACAAGTTTTATAAAAAAACTATTTTATTTCTATATATTTAATATGGCCGCAGTAGGAGATCTCAAATATTTTAATTTGTATTTCTTATTATATTCTATTAGTACTACTTATAAACATTTACAACACTAATCAAACTTATTAGTTATTCAAGTCTCTGATGGAGGTCCGGCATTAGTGTAATTTAAATGTAAATATATTCTCCGAATTTCTAATCGAGAAAATAGTGACTGAATATTACATATATTCGAAGAAAGTAGCAGTGTTAACTTCTAAACGTTCATAAAACGTACAAGTACTTACAAATTGCCTAAAAAATTGTAATCTCCGACATCTGTTCCAATTCCTTAAGTTCACTAAACACTTCCTCACTGCAAATGCCATTTCAATACTTAAATATCAATAAATTATCAGGCTTGTTTTGTATAGAAATTCCGTAAGGTGGAATTACTTTGAGCAGCACATGTCGGCAGGCGGGGCCCGACTCGCGCGCACTGACTTATCGCTATTATCACCACGCTACCCATTGATTAGGTATGTTTTCTACTAAATTATACAAACATAAGACTTCAATGTTTCATGACCCGAGCGTCACTCGAGGTCAGCGCTTGGAAACGTAATAACTTGTTATCTTTACCACATTACTTATCTTCGGTTACGTATACTTACTTAAGTACTTTCTGCTTCTTTCTTCGGAAGTACCCTCTTCACTCATATACTACTGCTTATTCTTTTTAGCTAATAGGTATTTATTAATTTCTCTTTGTAGTACTTACCGAATTGATTTCTGTATTTTAGTATGTTCTCATTCGCATACATAGCTACTTATATATGTTACCGGCCCGATTTCAGGACAATCTAGTTTTGCCTAGGCTAAACTAATTCTTCCTATACACGATAAGAATAACTAGTATAGCCTAGTCCAAACTAATTTGTCCTAAGCCCGATAGGCTAAACCAGTTTAGCCTAGGCCAAACTAGTTGATCCTGATATAAATACGCATACTCTAAGATAAACTAGTACGGCCTAGGATAAACTAGTCTGTTCATACTTAAAAAAAAGTCATCAACTCGGATAAAAGTGTAAAAAAATAATAGAAAAGGGAATTTTTAACAGCCAGCGCAAACGAAGGACTTGCAGCGGACTTTTTCGTCCGCCAAAATAGAACGCCTACAACTGCATCGAGTAACGCACTCGAGGGATTAAGGGTACCTACCACGTACAACTAACCCCAACAATAACAACAACAAGAGATCGGACTGGCCACAAGTACGGGGGTGTCCCCGAAAGAAATAAAACTCGCGTGACTGGGCGCAGCAACGCACATAGGGAACTTTAGTCTGTGTTGACCCAATATTCTCTTTTAAAATATGTTGTGGCCTTTTCTTAGGCTCACTTGCAGCAAATTCGGTAATCTTGATTAAAGTAAAACTAGATTTTACCCATACAAATATGTCAAATCGTCAATGTAAATTTAACATTTTTGTATGGGTTAAATCAAGATTGGTGAAATTGCTGAAAGTGGGCCCAAAACTGCATGCTAATTACAACACAACGTCATTTCAGAATATTTGCTCATTAGGCAACAAATGTTCGCACACCGTATGCGTTGCATGTGCGTTGAGTCCGTGGCATTTTTTCACTGTTCAGCAATTTAAGTCCCTCGTCTGCTCGGGCCATAAACGGTTAAATAATTCTATGCTTTTTACCAAATATAGGTAGGGGAAACCACCCAATCATTGGCACTCGTCCTATTATTGGCACTTTTGAGTTTAATTCGAATAAACAAGGAGATAATAGATTATTCAAGGTCGTTACATATTAAAAAGAAAAAGGGGAAACCACCCAATCATTGGCACCCGTCCTATTATTGGCACTTTTGACTTTAATTCGAAAAAAGAAGGAGATAATAGATTATTCAAGGTCGTTACATATTAAAAAGAAAAACCTAGTATGGTTTCGAAATTTGAAAATTGGCAGCATTATTCCTACAATCTATTGTTTCCTGGTTTTTTCGAAATAAACTCATAAGTGCCAATAATAGGAAGAGTGCCAATGATTGGGTAGTTTCCCCTACTACAATTTAGTATTATCAAGATTTTTTTTGACTGACCTCCTTAGGCATCTAAACAATTCTTTTCTGATATCATTTTTAAACTTACTCATTCTAAATAAAACATCGAAGTAAGCAATTGTTTTATTAAAGACATAATAAACATGTTAATAAAGTGAATAAATACAATAATATATAATCGATACTTATTTGTAATGTCATGCATGATGAGACGCAGGGGCAACCTATAATAGAATAACATCAGATTGCTAGTACATGATATTACGAGTGTTACAACTGACGACTCCTATTCTAAATTGCTAACACGTATCACAGGGGCGCTCGTTCATAGTCTGCTGACATTGTTTTAAGGCTATTTGTTAACCTTCCTATCAAATCTATACAGAATTAGTATTAATTAAGAGGAGTCTGAATCAAGTCAAATAAATAAAAAAAACTGGCATATAACTCCATCTAATCATTAAACATAAAAAATGTTTTGAGCATGATATTCAATATCGAAATATGATTTATTGAAAGTCTTGCCTTTCGTCTTGCCCAACTATAAAATTATGATGTCTTAATTTCCTTACATATGTTGCTATATAAAAATATATTATGGATAAAGTATAATAATTATATATAACTTAGCTCTTAAGAACAATGCCTATGCAAACTTTACATGACGCCTTTCTCAAGTCTATGCGTATGCCGATTTTTATCACATCATAACACTGTCTACATAAATCTAAGAATATTGTGGAATATACAACACGAATGTTTTTCAAAATAAAGGTGCAATTCCAAACTTTCACGTTTTAAATATCTCATGTAAAAAGAGACATTCAGTTATGTGTTTTGTACATAAAGTGATATTAGATTAATAGTGTGATTAACAAAAGCATTAATGTTAGTTCTCTCTAATCCAGGCAGCTAAGTATTTTTACCACAATATTATAAATATAGCAGTAACTAATTAACGAAGTTGCTCCCATTTTTGTACAACAGCAGAATAATCTTAATAAATAATAATATAAATAATGAGTTTTATGTGTCATTAATAAATATTTCGCGTTACACATCCGGGCGATGATTTTGACTTTGTCAGAAATTGTAATAGGTACCTAAATGCATTACAGAACAGATTCTAAAATATTTTAAACAATATGGAAGACTGAACAACGTTGGCAAATTAATTAGTACGTAAGTATGTTAAAGAATCCATTATTTTTAGTTAGTTTTTCTAAGTTTTTTTTAAGTTTACAGCATAAATATATTTCAGATGAAATGAAATAATGAACTTTGTATATGTGTATAATATTAATAGTAAATAAATACTTATGTGTAAATATAGATGCACGAAGTAAAATATAATTTATGTATACTTCAGTATTCGTTAATGTCGTAATTTATTTGAATGAGTCGTCATCACGTGTCGTTTCGACATAAAATGATTAATTGATTTCATCATCTTTTACAAAATTCAAAAAAGCCAATGGTTATACACAATGAGTGAACGTAATACACCTTATCAATTTATAATTTTCAATTCTAGTTGTTTAATTAGTTATCAAAATTTCACTAGCCTTTTACAATGTTATTCAAATACATCATAAGAGAAAGGCCAATTTCCTTTGTAGTGCAAATGGCTTGAGAGAAAAATGTGCGATATTGTCCCCAGCCTTATTTAACTGTTTTGATAATAACACTTAGAATTAGGTATGCAGTCGATAAACCTCAACAGTCGCTTAATATGCATGACTACTCGTATAATTCTCTTTGTCATATTTTTCTGAGAGTGGATAGTCCAACACCTTGAGTCCTTGTTGATAAACTATAGTTCTTCGTAGGTAGATTACTGGATTCTAGCTTAAATAAAAGCAGCCCACAGAGACACTACTATAGTAACTAACGAGACGAGACAAGACAAAGGACGATATGTATTCGTAAGAGACACCGCACAACTAGGAATCTTTTGTACAAGAAACCCTGAATCAACCTGCTACTCCCGAAATTTTGAGATGGGTATGGCAGGTCTGTGAAATTATAGCATTTAAACATGACACTCGCAGTATTGCGTGAAACGGTAAAGCTTTTTTAGTATTATAAATCATTCACTGATAAGTAAATGTAAATTTGAACAGATGCTTGTTTCGATGATTCTTGAAAACAAATATTATTACCCCAAAAAAATTAGACATGTATTGAACGCGAGTTTAAGAAAAATTACATACAAAAGCCTAACCCAAGTTCGAAATGGTATCTAACTTTTTTGTAGTAAAACCGAAAAGCTTTAAAACCACTAGGTACATGACGTTTAATAACTTTTGGATTAATGTGTAAACGAAACAATATCGATATTATATCGTAATGAGAGAATTTCACATGATATACAGCGGTTGTGGGTTATTGGGACTGATCTTAAGTTCGAAGTTAGGAAATTTTAAATTATTCGATCTCACAGGTAATACTTCTCCTACAGCTGCGCGACGAAGCTTTGAATGGCTTTGATATTAAATTCGCTAAAATTATCTTTCGAAAATAGAATTTGTTCTATCGTAATGAATTATCGGGTTGCGTGTCTAAATACACTAGACGATAGCTCGATTTGCGATTTTTGACACCCCTAAAAGAAGTTGTGGTAGACGATAAATTTGTATGTTGCAGCTGAAGGGGCTTACTTACGATGGACCTCATTCGCGCAAAAATTAGCGTTCCAAAATTACGCTATTTTTTGCGCATTTAAGCGCGTGCGCTGCTTTAGGCGGGATCATGGAGCAGACATCCGTCACGGAGATCCGCTTCGTACTCAGTCGCGGGACCCACGTGAGACGGGTGCCACGCGCAACGCGCCGCCAGTAAAATTTCGACTGCGCGTATGAACTGTGATAATGGATTATTTTTGTTGATAACACTACATAGTTAAAAGAGAACGCAGACGGGGGCACAGAAGACAGCCAATCGAGCGTGCACATTCGCGCGCGAGGCGTGTCTACGAAACAAACACGCCGCGCCGAGCGGACGCCCACTCCGTGCTTCGCTTAGCGCAGCGCACGCTCTTAGTACCAAAGCTTCGTCGCGCAGGTGTAGCAGAAGTATTACGCAATTGCTCGTCTAGCAACAGTCTGTCAATATAAATACGAACACTACTTGCTCATCTAGTCCGACACGCACAGTAACCAAGCGACAACATCAACCTAAACATCGACGTGAAGTTATCGTTCTAGTGTAATGTGCACATCACTAAAGGTAAGAGTTAACGTTTAAAAAAATCATGTCTACTCCAGAAAGCTCACTAGAAGCACAGTCAATATTCGCAATTTCTTTCTTTCTTTCAAAGTTCCAAGATCCAATGTTCGCAAAGTGATAAATTTGAAAAGTGCATTTGAATGTTTACAGCGGATAAGACAGCTCACTCTCGTGCTGCTCATACATTTTGATTTTTCGGACAAAATAATATCGTTTTGGATAGTAGAATTAACAAAAATATAGCAGTTAATTACTATCAGGTAAACACATTGAATGTTCAATTCACATTGGGACGTCCGTCACTCGGGACATTTAGTTCGTTGTAGGAATTCGGAACTCCATAAATTATTACTAGTATTATCTAGTAATAATCTATATAATTATCTAGTAGTAACTTTTGTTCATGCCGAAATAAAATAAATATTCTCATAGCTGTTTGACCAAGATATTTTTTAGTTTTTTTTTGATAGAGAAAAATAAATGTATAGGAAGTTCTGGAGGTCAAATTGAAAAGGATAATGAGAAAATCAATGTGGTTTCTTGAGGTACCTAGTAATTATTGTGGTTATCTTATTTTTTTATTGATTTTCTAAGTTCACACACATTGATTACAAATGAAATATCTGCCAAACTATTACAATAGTTTGTTGGAAAAATTTCTGTGATTATAATTTTAGGCCCCACAAACATTATTGTATTTTAGTATGTGATCCTGTCCCTGGTATCCGTGCGTTTAATAACGATCTAAAACAGTAACAAATGAATGTATAAAAATCATCATACCTCCAGACTAATAATAAATTGGCCCTATATTTAACATGATCATTAGTACGTACTTTATAGAACAAGGAGCACGAAAATAGGTACATCTTTACTGAACAATATATTTAATATAAACCCTTGCAGTAACTTTAAATATTTATCACGAATTTAACACCATCTTATTTTTCTAATCACTAAACAATATCTTTAACATTAAAATACTTTTAGAATTCCACATCTGAATTATAGTTCGCTAAAAATTATAATTACAATTCCGTATTATGTAGGTACTTTTAAGTTATTGTTGTATCAGCATTCGGTACAAACTCGCTCCTATACAAAAGTTGCACTTGATTGCGACTTTGCTCGCTCGAGCTTGCAAGTCGTGACTTAACATAACATTAAACATATTTAACGCTAAGCTAGTCTACAATCTCACACAGTAATAAATTATATTGGTTCAACACTATCACTCGTGGAAATCAACAAACCGGGTCACTTCTATACGTCGTCGTCGTCGGTCACTAGTCACTAAACCTCACTGTGTCAATTTTCTTAATGAGCGAACGGAAAAACAAAGCTCCGCGCACTATAGCGTCAGTAACACATAGGAAGCTCTTTTAAAACGTCACTTATGTAACCACCGCATTCAGTAAGTTCGATCACAAAACAGAGTAACCTCTATTCTGTGGGATTGTCCGCGCTAGAGGCATTAATCTATTCGCGCAGACCGGCTTAGGTATTGGTCTAGAAATCAGTCATGTGCGGTGAAGTCGTTCGCTCTGGTTCCGGTCAGGTATACCTGCATCAAATTCGCAATGGTTATTAACATTTTAATCACTGATGGCATAACATACTTATATGTCTGTATATGTAAAATGTTTTAATGCATATACGGGTCAAAATCATAGAGGTGAGCATTTTAAGTTTTCAAATATCTAAGAAATTAAGTTTTCGTTTGAAGAAAACTAACAAGTGGAACCTGTTGTATCATTTGTCATGAACCTTTCCTGGGAAGAGGCACGCAGAAAAATATATACTTTAGAAATTCTACCACTTAATAAGAATAATGCCAGGCACAAAAGACATTTCGGCAACACTTTTAAATATTTTTTTAATAATAATATAACCAACGCATTTCTGAATCACCTTCAAGAAATTGTAATTAACCTGTTCCTAAATCGGATATTGTGTATATTTTTAAATTGAAAACTTTTATTTTTCAAAGTACTCTCCATAAATTTTAAATTGATGTAATTTTCGCTACGTAATTTCAATTTATTGTGCACATTTTTGAATTAACTTATATATAGATAATATAAATGCAAAAGTTTAAAGATTATTTAATATTGTATATGCAAGATTTAAGTATACCCTTACTTATTAGTAATTTATTTGCTTTTTTGTGATGTTCACGAAAATTATTTGATATACTGTCCTCTTTTAATCCTTTTTTTCGACTTTCTTTTCTTTTTATCGTTTTCCATGTTTCTCTTACTAAATGAATACCTAAAACCAAAATTATGCTTTTAAATGCATTAGAGCATCCTTTGCCCAAAAATTGTAATCTCGGGAACGCCTTATTCTCTTATTATGTACGGGTTATGTCCCGAAATGATAAATATTTCCATGTCACGCTTGACGCCGCCATGTTAGATATTGGTTTTCGATGTGATGAACAAGTGAGCTGTAATATTTATAAGAATTTAGCAAAACATATGCAACTTTACGAAAAACTAATCATCAAATAGCGTTCCCGTAGTGACAGGGAATTAAAGTACGCTTCACACATATCAATTTCAAAGGTACTTAGCAACAAAATCTTTTATTTTTTTTCCGTAAAAACGAAACCACCTTTTGATTTGACTAGTGAACTTCACGCTGATGCTCGCTAACGCCATCTCGCGTGTGTCCTTTTATTTAAATTGATCGATATCCACCGCGTTCACGGAATGATTTGATAAACGTCAGTCACCATTTGAATAGTCAAAATATGAAGAAATGAAACTGCTATTTCTTTTTTTAAGCGTATATTCTTAATTTGATGTTTTTCAAAACTAATATTAAAATATGTTAGTTTTAAGTATTAATTAAAAACACTTTTGACTTGTTTGAACTATGAAACAATAATTATAATGATAAATCTTTAAGCGGACGATCTCCAACTTTATGTGCATGCCGACAGAAATGGTTTACATGAAGCCCTGACGCGGCTAAATGATGACCTGCAAAGGATTTCAGAATGGTCCAACTGTTATGGTATCTCCGTAAATCCAGCAAAATGCTAAGCAATAATAAAAGGTAGCTCCCGACAGTTGGCCCTTCTGGATTTAGCGTCACTAAAACCGTCACCTTATAGCGATACTACAATTTGATTTCAACCTAGCGTCAAAGATCTGGGTCTACTCATAGACTGTTCCTTCAGCTGGGAAGATCAAGTTAATGAAGTTTGCCGTAAAGTTATTAACACATTTAGGGCTCTGTACAGATTGAAATTCTTTCTCCCTTCCAGTACAAAGGTTGCGCTCGTACAAGCTCTCATTCTTCCAATCCTTGACTATGCTATTCTGACACCAATCAAAACCTTCTTTCTAAACTGGATCGATGCTCAATAGCGGTATTCGCTTTATCTTCGGTTTGCGGAAGTACGACCATATCTCACACTATTGAAATCTACTCAAGTGGTTGTCCCATACGTGACAGTAGAAATCTGCGAATTGTATGCATGATTTTCACTATTTTATACGATCCACGTGCCCCAGAATACTTGAAATCTAGGTTTCAGTTTCTGGATCCCTCCAAACCACGTTATCTTCGCTCTTGCAGGCACCTTACCCTTAAAACTCATTTTCACCATTCTAGTTTCGTTTCCTCATCTTTCGCCATTACAGCTGTCTGGGACACCTTTAGTTGCTTGATAATGTTATGATAGGTTCCGAAAACTGCCCCGAAAATGTTGTTATGTTAAATGATAAAACGATGTTGTTTGTATGAGTAATTTATTGCTACTGCTCAATTCACTTAATAAAAGGCGTAACGAGTCGCGCGCAGCGCCGACGTTAGCATAATACTTAAACATATAGAATTGTACGGGTTTGCCCGTACATATTCCCGGGCAACAAGAACAGGAAATACAAAAAATAAATTATTAGCTTGATAAGAACTGCTTGATAAGTAACATTATTTTGCAAATGCGTTTGTTTGTGTTAGTAACAATATTTCTTAGGTTGCTATGTTAGTATAATGCAAAATATGCAATTTGCAAGTAAATTTTTATTAAACAACAATGATTTAACTCTTAATTGATAAATTTAACGATAAAATTTGTTTAAATATGTATGTAGGTTATATTCTTATTGCTTAAATTAATCTTAGAGTTTTTTGAAGTCCAACATCTCACACATTCACTAAAACCGAGTATGCAATACGGGAGATGTGGCTTTATTTACAAACCGCGCACTTTTCACTGCACTATCCACCGAACGCGCACTATGCTCTGCACTAAATTCACTATTAGAACGCACGTTCACTGACTGTGCTGCTGGGCGGGCGGGCAGGGTCGCCAGCTTTAGCTCCCGGCGCACCCGGCGTGCTGGGCACACTCCACCGGCAGCGGCACCGTACCCGACGAATTATCAGGACTATTGTTACGATGCCGGCTACTACGATGATTCCATAGATCATACTGTAGTGGTGAATATCATGGGACGACATGTTGTTTAGTGATATATCTACAGTATCTTGTTTCATTTCCTTTATCCTTTCTCCCAATTTAGCAATACTGTTATCAGCATCCATCTCTGTTATGTTTATGGGAATTTGAGGCAACGAAATATTTATAATATGATTAATAGGTGCGATTACGGGTGGATATATTTCTGGATGGATATTAATTTTATTTGATCGTTCCTTATGTGCCAACATCGTAAAGTTTTCTGTTTTGATAATACATTCACTGTCCATACTAAGTATACCGGCGCTAGACACCTGTAGTGCTGTAACCTCAGAATACAGAACAAACCAGAAACCGTCAATGCGCTCAAAAGTGAAACCATACAAACCACGCCGGAACGGTGTGGTTCGTCAAATTGTCATTTAGTCAATGGCCGACGCTCGTACTGTTTACTAGTAATTTTAGCTGTCAGTTTTAAAATAATTATGCCGTCGTGTGTCGTTCCCACTTGCAAAAATGCAACAGGATCTACGAAGAAATCAGATGGGATCACCTTTCATCTGTAAGTTGTACATTTCCAATCCATTTTATTAAAATATTAAATTTAATTTACGTAATATAATTGTCAAAGAAAATCAGGCGTCCTTTTTTTTTAATTTATTGGCAATGGATACATTGTCCTTATGCCTAATCACGCGTCCATTTTGTTAGTATTGCCACAGAATAATCGAACATTTTACCCAACTTTTTTATAACTTTTAATTTTATTGATTTAATTACAATTATTATGTGCTTTTTTTATTCAGGGAGCCGTTTGCTAAATAGTATAAACTGCGCGAGTGTTTAAATACCATTTATGTGCGGTATGTTACTCAGTTTCACATTTCATTTACTAGAAATATTTTCACTTGTATTAGTTTACTTAATAAATTATGTATGTGCAAACTACAAAATGTATTATTTCATTCTACCCCACCGTATTATCCATGGTATAGCCCTATCATCATACCAATTATTGAGCTGAGTCCAAGATAAGTTTCAGTAACAACTTGTGTAAAGAACTCTAGATGAACATACTTATACATACATATATATTTTTTGTAAATACATACATAATATGCCAAGACCGAAACAGGAGTAAAAGACCAGACTATGCAGATAAATAAACTGTTTTTCAGAAAAAACGGGTACTTTAATTTTTTTTTCTACTTCAATGAATATAACAAGAAAGGGGTATTATAAAAGTTATCTTTAATTTTAGTTATGATACTCACATTCAGTTGTCAAATTTTGTTCCTATTAAATTAAGTCAAAAGGAATGAATATATTTTACCTATTGAACGTTTAAAAATTACCATTTGACATTACTGTCCATCATATACATAAAATTTTAATTTTACCCCAAAAGCGGTAATGTTATGTTGCGCTGGTAACACTACGCGGGTGGGTGCGGCGCGGGCGGGGAGTTGTTTTGGACACAATGCGCTCTGTACAAATAAGACTAAATGCTCCTTCTAGTTTGTTCTGTATTCTGAGGCTGTAACTTGATCTGCGCATATCTCGCGCAATTGACACCGGTCACAACAGAAATAAATCTGGAGCTTAGATGCATATGGGCGGATGTGCAGGTCGGGCAAAATTTTTTTATTGAATAACAATGAAAAGCGCTTCTTTCTCTTTCCACAGCACAAGGAGCTGTATTTCTATCCCTTTTCTGGGCTGAGATAATTCCGTGCATAATGTCGGTTCTTACAGCTTTTCTAAAATCATTAGAACCTTAAGGTTTCATTTTCACTTCCTTCTCTCTGCGTCCACATTGCTGTATTTTTCTTTTGGTGGATTGAAAATTTGGCCCTTATGCAAAAAAAAAATATTCGCACAAAGGCTACGTAAAAGGAGTCACGCCTTTATGGTTCAAACAGTGATTTAAAATATTCATCGTAACTAAAGTTCCGATATTATGCATCTAAGATTCCTTAAATAACTTTAACACGGTTGTAGATATACGACTTTATGCCTTTTGTTTTAGTAACTTTGTAAATGCATTGGTGGGCCAATGTAAAAATAAATCGTTATGGATGTGAACTATTGAAAATATGGCGCCAAAAAATTAGCGACATTGGGCATTA